AACTGCCTTTGTAATTAAAATTTAATTTAATTTGTCTTTTCGTTTTTTTCCCCCAATTTTCTGTATCGCCTAAATTATTTTTATTTATAATTTTTTCACACATTTTTGAGTTACTTTCTTTTAGGTTAGTTATCAAAAATGAGCTCTTTCGTACACAGCAATTTCTTTATTTTGTAGGTCATCTGTTTATGACTGTTGAGTATACACTCTCCAGTCAGTCTCAAAAACTACTTCTATAGTAAATTAATAAATAATGATTATTACAGTAGAATAAATAATGAATATTGAAGTAGAATTCAAAGAGAAATGTTTATCATTTAATTGGTAACAAAAATATTTTTCATTTTATAAGTTCTGAATTTATTTATTAATATTTGTGTTTTAAACTATAAACCTATAACTATTAATTGTTCTGTTCATTAATTATAATCAATGTTAACATTATCTGATGTTAACTCTTGTAGTTATTGACAATATGACTAAACTATTTTAAATTATATTTTTTTAAAGTGTGATTCAGTTTAAAATATTGATAGAGACTTGACAATATAACAGAAAATTTATATTTGCATTTTCTGTACGTGATATAATTTTATATTTTAATTTTGCGAGTTTTTATGTAATTTTTATTTTGTACGTATTGTGTGGATAAAACTCTTGACTAAACAGAAATTCTTTAACAGTCGGCTCCTTAAAAGTCATACTTAGTGGTCGAAAAAAAATTTGAGCTTTATTTTTTTTTTTGAAAAACAAATTTGAATATTAAATTCTGACGTTTTACACAAGTTGTGTTTATTTTGAAAAAATCTGATGATAATTTATTAATGGGGGGGAACTGGTCGAGCATGTCATTTAAGTAGTTTTTTGGACCAACTAAGGAAATCTAAAAAATAATATCTACACCTAATTGCAAAAAGTAAAAAATTAAAGTCTAAGCAATCACATGTTGTTAAATAAAAATATTATCCATGGTATAGTTATACATTTTTAATGGTATAATATATTCGTTCACAGACAGCTTATAGTTATTACGTGTACTTATTATAAACTATTGTGCAAATAATGTCTAATTGTTTATTTGCGGACATCAAGCAACTGATATAAAGTTAAATTGCCATTAAAAGTAACATAATAATATATAATAATAATATTTTACTTCTCACCCCTAAGCCAAGAAGTACAGTAAAACAAATACAAAATACAAAAAATAAAAATAATTAAAACACTAACACAATTTTAAACATTAGCAAACAATTAGTTTTACATAATTGATTTAAACTGATTTATACCACTAACAAAGAAGTCAAAATCTTTTTACTATATAATTTTTTTATATAATCTTATTACAATTATATTTAGATGCCAAAGTGGCTGTAATTTTGACAGTGGTGAATAATGAAAAAAAAGGAAAGTACATCCTAGAATTAAAGATATAAAAAATATTAAAGACCTTAAAAGATATATCTTATAATTCTAGGCAATTAATTTTATTGACAATATTATAAAAAAAAAAATAAAATATTTAAAAAGTTTCTTCTTATAATTAAATGGTCAATACTCAATTTTAAATTGAAATAGGTAATAAATGAGTTGTACTAAGTACAAGTAATTTAATTTAAAATATAGTTTATGTAAAAAATAATTTTGGATCTTTCCTAATTTATTAATCAACTGGATTGGTAGGGATTCCATATAAATAATCCATATTCTAAAATTGGATGAACTAAAGCACAGTTTAATAATTTCCAAAAGAGCACATAACATAAAGACTACAGTTTATCTGATAGATGTATACCCTTAAATATTAATATATATTATTTTCTTTAATAATATTTGTTTGATATTGTACTGATTTTCCTGTTTTTTCCAGGTTTTTTTTACATTTGCTGGAAAAGTTCTTTAGAAAATCGAAAAATGACCTCTCTAATAATTACATCTCTGTTCATTTTTTTTGTAGAAAAAGTGCTATCATTGTACATCGTTGTAATTTTAAAGTTTACCTGACCATAATAATGGCAACAAAATAATCACATGTTGTTAAAAAAAAATATTATCTATGATATATTTATACATTTTTAATATATTTGTTCGCAAACAGCTTATAGTTATTACGTGTACTTATTATATACTATTGTGCAAATAATGTCTAATTGCTTATTCGTGGACATTCACATCACAGATTGTGTTTGTTACCGCGCATTTTTTTATGAGAATTGTTGGCAAATTTCAGTGGGCAATCCACGGTGCGGTGAAAGAACATTTTTAAAGCATCGTTGCTGATATTTTTGAGATTGATATTTTTACTGTGGCACATACCCTTGATCGACAGTCCGTCTTCATCTTCGAAAACAGGTCCGCTGCCGTCTTTTACTATTCCTTCGTGTTTGTCTTCTTCGAATCGTTTTTCTAAACATCTGCACATAGCAGGTACATAGAAACATACAATTAAATACATGTAAAATATACATAAATTTTTATTAGTTATTTACTGGCCTATATTGCAATAATTGTATATTAGATTTTGAGAGGGGCGAGGAATTACAATGATGTTTATTTTTTTATTTTCCCAAGAGTTTTTCTAATGAATCGAAAAACCGATAAAAACATGGTTAAATAAATGCAGTATTAAAAAAATGTTATTAAAAAAAAATATATAATGCTTATGTAATTATTTTGCCATAATATAACATATATATTATTGACAAAGCAACACTATTAACAGAACTCCGCTCAGAATCGCTTTTTCGTTAACAATGGTTACGTACAGTAATACATCAAATTTCATCTCTACCTTCCCAACTTCTCACTTACAACAAGTTAATATTTATACAATTATGTTCTTCCTGTTCGCCTTTGTGCGACGCAAGTAAGGTCAGTTAAAGACATATCTAATCTTATGTTTTATGCCATTGTTCTCATTTGTTCAACAAGAACTCTAAAATTTCTGTCTATGTCCTGTTTATTATTATTAATTTTTTAAATAGGATTAAAAAACCACTCACTCTGGGCAAATTGATGGTACTTGTCCCACGTCAAGCATTTCGTCGTCAGCTAGTACGGCGGTCGGATCAATAGAAGCCATCATTTTTGCCTGTCTGTTTTTGTCGCCGTCCAGGTTTCGGGCCACAAAATCGTCTTCCTGTTCGGATCCGGTAGACATTGATTCTCCGGCTTCGACCGGACGCAGCATGACCCGTTGTCGTTGCAACTGTGACCAGTCGTCACTGCCACCACAACCGACGCCACCACCGCAATTATTTTGGACGTAAAATAACCGATACAATACATCATTAAGTCGCCCGTCTACGAGCCCAAAGTATGTTCTTAAACTAGGAGGATCGGGCAGTATTCGATTGCAGTGACTGCCACCACCTTCGTCTTCTTTACCGTCATTAGAGTCTTTAACCTGAAAATGGGCCAATGGCCACCCACAGTCCGTTCCCATAAGGTCACACACCTCGTCCACAACTTGGCAAGTCCGGATCCATTCAGAGGCTAACGTCCGCAAAGTCCTGCGCGCGTCTCGTGACCTCGTGCACCCGTCCTTATACTCACGGGCCATGTTCTCAAACTGTTTCTTTTTCGTTATTAACATGTCCGATAAGGCACGCTTTTTATCAGCCACAGTTGTCCGCGATCGTTCCATTGCGTTTTCCATATCCGTCAACTAGGTAGAAACAAATAATATTATTATTTTATTCAATCCTCTGAGGCCAATCCGAGGACCGGGACGAAAATTAAAAATAAGACGAGTAGGTATTGTAGTTACATAAATGCTGTACACAACTATTATTACCTATATTAATGTAACTTTTTATTGCTTTGCAAAGCACTGTTATTATACTATTCATCGGTGGAGTTAAAAAAATAAAAGTATACTCACGTGCAATTCTATTGCCAGTAAAAATTTAAACATAGATCTATTATCAAAATTCATTTTAACAATTTCTTCCATAATTTTTTCTAAGTTTTTTTCATCTGTGATGTATATCAAGTGTTTGATGAATTCTTCTGCTTCAACATTTAAAGCCAACATTTCAGTATCGTGTTCGTTTATATTTTTCTCGGTGGTTTTTGCTGTTCTTGATTTTACTAAGTAAATATATACAAAATATTTAGTGCTATTTTTTTTCTAACACTTATAAATTGTTAAAATTATACTTTTCTTAAGTAACTTATTGATAGTTTAATTTGGAATGTGGATTTTAGGGTTTAAGAATAAAGACCCACCCAGAATTTTTTAGGGGTCTAAGACATTTAAATCCTGATGGAAAATAATTAAAATTAAAATATAAAATATAAAAATAAAATTATAGGTATTATTAAACTTAATTTTTGGGGGCTTAAAAAAGATATCGTAACAAGAATAAATATATTCAATTTCAATTTTAAGGTTTATTAAAATTCGCTTTTTGAATAAAATAAATAAAATATGTGAATATTTCTATTATAGGTAGGTAAATATAGATTTTTTGTTACTTGCATTTTTCTGTTACATATTCAGTCATTTGTATACTGTTATTGAACTGTCGTTTAAGTAATAATAAATTGTTCTCTTGATTCTGATTTTGTGTTTTACTAGTTTTTAAATAAATTTCTAAACGTTCTTTAGCATCATCTCTGAATCAAATAATATATACGTACAATAACAAAATTATTAAAATAAAATATTGACTAATATAATTCAATAAATTACTATCGATATTGTTAAGTATACCTGTATCTGCTCATAAATTCGAAGATCGGTGTTCCAAGAAATTTAAATTTAACACTAAAGAATGAATATAAGGATTTGTATAAAAAAGAAATAAGATCCTTTATTGGATTGATAGTAAAATAAAAGTATGAAAATTGAAACCCTACAATCAAGATTACAGGTACCTATATTTATAGTTCAATAAAAATTATTATAGACAGCAGACACATAATAATATTGTTAGGTACCTACTCGTATACACACTATACAGGACGTTCCATTTAACCTGTACAGTCATTATCTCAGAAAGTTTTAACTTTTTTCAGAATTTGTTTTATAAAACATTTAAGAAACAAGCAGCTCTACAACTTTACATTTATTGTCACCCTTATTTTTTAAGGAGAGTAGTGATGCATTATCAAAAGGCCGCGCGTTATGTAGCCACATAAATAATGCTCCACTCCTCTCCTCCGACCCAAACATGAAACATCTCGTCAATGGATTGACGGAAATCAAACATTTTAACACCAACATTTATTTTAACTAATACTTAATCTATTTATGGAATTGTTAATATAGGTTGCCATTTAAAAAACAAAATTGGTAATGGTTTTACCCCAAAAAATAAGGATGAGAAAAATATAAAATTTTTGAGCTGCTTGTTTCTTAAATGTTCTATAAAACAAATTTCAAAAAAAGGTTAGTATTTTCGAGATGATAAGTGTACCCACTTAAATGGAACACTGTATATAATTTAAATCACTTTTCCTAAATTTCTTTTAAAACATGTATATTACCTTTTTAGTAGCTAAGTAACTACTATTATAAATTTACCTGAGTATGTAAGTCCTAGCAACTTGTTCGCTAAGATCAGATGCTATTTGCTGCCCTTTGTGCAATTTATTCATAAGTTTATTGTAAAGTTTATTTATTCGTTCCCTTTGTTTTAATAATGATTCCACTTGGGTTTTTAATTGATTTTGTTCATCTAACAATCTGTTGTATTCATTATTGGTTTTCTAAAAAAAAAACAACCCTTTTATAATAATATGTCAATAAACTTTATGAACAAATAAAATAAATTTCTACTTCATTTACTACGGTAGGTACGTATTTACAAAAGTCAGTTTTGGACCATTATTCTTCGAACTTTTATTTTTTTTATCAAGAGCACTTATTTCGGCTTCCAGTTGAAATATCTCTTTATCCACTTCCAACTCGATTTTTCGTTGTTCGGTATACTCATCATCGATTTGTTTGATCTCTCGAATCGTTCTAGCAAACTTCATTCTGTACTTATCATCTTTTCTTACTTTTGATTTGCACATAGCTGCATTTAAATCGGACACTAAGTTATTGCGCTCTTCTTCCAATAGCTTAATAGCTAGCCATCTATAATTATTAAATCACCGCCTATATTATAGTTAAAATTAAAATTAATATAAGATGATAGGTAGTTATTTTAATAATCACATTTTATAAATTCCCAAGGGGCAAGTTATTACAGTCCCAAAGTTTTTGAATATTCATCTTTGAAAAATGACGAATTGATTAAATTTAAACATTTTTTGTCAACTTTTTTTTTGTAATAAATGGGTTTATAATAAATATTGATATACCTAATCAAGTTAACTAACCAAATTTGCTTTTCCCCAAATAAAAAAGCCCTAGTCTATACATGCTTATTATTTTATATATTGTGTTATATCAAGATAACCTATTATAATCTAATAATAAAAAAATTAAATTGACTAGAATTAAATTTAATTAAATTGATAAGAATTCTTCAAAATACTAGAATACCTGAATACTTATGATCAGAGTGATATACTTTAGGTACTTAGTTATAAAACACTTCAGCGCGTAATTAAAGTATAAAAAATATCAAATTTAACAAGGTGTTATTTAATTTTAAAAATATTAATATATAAGGTAAGTACGCTTTTTGTTCTTACTCTTGACATTTGGCTGGACGTACATCATCGTGGTTTTTTCGAAGTTTATATCGTTTGTTAATATAACCATATTTAAGTAAGTCAGCTTTAAGTATATTACTAGTGTTGTCTTCCTGAGGTACGACCTCTTTTACCATTATGGTGTAGTGTAGTTACAAAATGCACTCGTAACATAAAAACAATTACAACGACGATCTACAATTTACTTCTTTACACATTGACAATAGTCAATAGGTGTTAACTAACCAAAACAAAAAATGTGCAAACATGTTTATATTTTCATATGCATTGGTATAAATAAAAACAAATAATAACAGAATAATACGAAACGCGTAAAAATACACATTTTGTTTGTTGACAAGACGATAGAATTTCATTATAAAATATACAATATTAATTTAGTGTTGTATCTACAACAAATGTCATATCCTACGTTTTATAGATACATGCAAGTGGCGGACTATAGCCACGGAAGTTCAGGAGGTATATCCACCTTGGCTGATGGGTTGTTTGGGTCGATGGCTATGCGAAATAAACATATATTATCAATAAATCTATGGTAATAAGTATTAAGTTGATTTAAATTGTATAATTTAAAAATTTCAAATGTGTAGTATAGAACAATTACCGGGTATTTATACTTAGCATATGAATCTATTTTAACTTTGTTATTCGATCAGGTGAGCAGTAAAAGAAGTTTCAGTAAATTAAAAATAGACTGCGTTAAGAGTGTGTAGAAGACCAGAGCTAGGGGATTGTTATGATGAGAAATTAGTACCATGTAAATTGAATTGACCTATACTCAGAAAATAATGAGTAATGTTGTGTAAATCAAGAAAATTAAATAATTGTAAACTTACCGCTAGATAATGAGGATATATCTCATAATATAAATAATATGATATACATTATTACGTATTATTTTATAAAGAAACATATTTGTAACATCTATACTAAGAACTACTCAACACATTTGATGAAGCTAATATGAATTATGTTACAAATTTTTTTCAAACGGATTTTATGATGTGTCTCAGGGCACTTATAACCTCATGTTTGATATTTAAAAAATCTACTAGATTCGCTTGTCAAGCCTACCAAAAATTTAAAGGAACTCAGGCGCCGATTGAGAGGTATAAAACTCCAGAGTTACTTTCCCTACGGCGCACAGCGTTTCAAAACAGAAATTTGCGGGTCATAATAATTAAAACGTATTATTTATAACACACAGTATAAAATTATAGTAATTATAATAATATAGAACTGTTCTATCGATAAAGGTTTTGGGGTTCAACACACACCTCCAACTTTATTAACCAAGATAGGAGTGGATTACGGTACATCCAATAAGCTTTCAGTAAGTTTATAAGTTTCAGTATTAATATATAATAATAATAATCATAATATATTATAGTAGATTCTAAAATCAATGGCAGCACACAATCAATGTAAAGTAAAGTATACAGTATTAACTGTATAATATTTTTACGCCTCTTGCATTTGAGAATATAATTTTTCACAACAGTGGATAAGTTTTGCGATGGGCATGATGTTGTATGGGAACACGTTCTTTTCGTGCAATTTCAAAATCTTTAACCGGAGTCTGATCAACAGGTCCATGGCTCGTTCGGTATCCGAGCCGCAGCACTGGGAAAATTGTCCGATATCTCTGGCGGCAGTTTTTAGCATGTTCAACAAGTACGGTAAAAATTCGTTTTCATCGGATATCAAGTAGTCCAAAAGCACGTCTGGTTCAAAAGAAACGGAAGCGAGCAACTCAGCAAAGCTCTCCAGCGGCTCGAACAGTGGACGGATGGCCGGTGCTGCGTCCACGATAGCTAAGGTACACGCCAAACACTCGACGACTACGTCATCCCGATCGCACATCAGCCGGACCAGCCACCGACAGAACCGGACGTCGACCGCAAACAACGTGGATGACTTGACATACGAGTCCAGGCAATCGACAACGAGCGTGGCCGTCTGGTCGGTCGTTACTCGACCAAAGGTGACTAGCACGCGCAGTGACCTCATCGCCAGCAACACGATCTCTTGCAGAACGACTTTGGCCTGATGCCCTGTCAAAGTTTTGCACATAAAGTACAAAAGCCGCCGCCGGGTGATGCCGGTGGCTACCTCATCGGCAACCGCCATCAATTCGTCAGTCATCTCGGGGTGGACCAGGCTGGCACTTAAAAGCCGTACAGCGTTGAGCCACACATTCGGGTCCGTATCCGTCCGGTACAATAGTCGGTCCATTAATGCTGGCAAATCGGTATAATATCGACTGTGATCCGTCGATGACAACACGGACTTCCAAAGCCGTATGAGCTCGATCCGTGTGACAATATTGTTATCATTCTCGTCTTTGCAGTCGTTATTTTCTCCATTGTCTATAACGGCAGTCACCAAATCCGTCCAACAGCCTTCCAGACGGTCCAACAACAGCCGTTTGATTTCGTGATGATCCGAGGAGACGGCGGCAGATCGATCAGTCGTTGGTCCGGCACAGCGAGATGTACGGGTAACCGCTGGTATCCGGATGCAGGAATCTTTGTCATTCGCGAGTACACATGCGATAACTCCGATGGCCGATGTTGGTGACGTCTCCCGGACACGCATGGCAGTGATCGTAGCTAACACTAAACCGTCTATCAGACGGACCTGCAACGGCCCGTCATGACACCAGACCGTCTCGGTAGCTGCGCGTGATGCTGAGTACCGTATGTAACGGTCGGGTGACGATAGGCTTTCCAGCAGGTAGTCGGCCCACGCTGGGTCAAAAACCAAGGCCGAACAGGCACGTCTAACAGCCGGACAGCACGCGTGGGCCTGTCGGCGGCAAGTCGACAGTAACAACCGTGCCGCACTCAGCGGGTCGGCATCCACGGGACGTGACAATAGCCATCTGTAAGCATAGCCCGATGATCCGCACACACATCCACCGTTCGCGATCAGCGTTTTGATTGTTTCTGTCATTTCACATCCACGTATCCGCCGCTTGATTAATGATCTGGAAAAAAAACCAATAGGTTTTAAATTCGTTGTTCAGTAATCATCAACAATCGTACCTGTATGTTAATCGTAACATACACATACATACATCGTGTTTTATATACATTATAAGTCGTATATACATATTAATAGGTACAATATGTACATATTGATCGAGAACGTAATATTATTATATACAGGATGCAGTAGGTGGAGGCGGAGACCTATACAAAGTTAACATAGAGGCGACTATTAAAATTCAAAGCGATCCACAAGCGATCTACTGTAATTTGTATGATCTATACAAGTAGTTCACAGATAGGTGATAGTTCATGGAGTTATTAACAAAATGATACATACAAATAACTAGAACAATATGTAAATATTATAAAATGAAAAAGTAAGTTCTACCGTAGTTAAATTTCCTTTCAGAAAAATGCTACACTTGAAAATCAGAACAAAATTGTTGGTGGAAAGTTGTTCACAGAAAAAAAAACAAACATTATTGTAAAACCAAAATATATAACATATATATACTAAAATATATTTTTAAACTTTTAACAAAATCACTCAACATTGTATTTTATAAAATAAACATTAAATGAATAATTAATAATAAATACAATATTTATCAAATCACTAATCAAGTAGATACAGTTTACCATTTTTATCAGTTGGGTACTTAATCTGATGGATGACACCTGAGTAAAAGAATTAATTTTCTTGCATATTTTTACTAAAGAATCAGTAGACACCAGGGGTGGCCTAGTATTCTACAACAATAAATGACCCAAACATATTTATACCATTTATACTCTTTATTATCTATCTATTTTACAAATATATTGTTTTTATATGAACACCTAGTTTTTCAGGTAGTTCATCAAATATTATATAGGTACATACTTACATACAAAATATGTTTTGAAAAACCATAATATTAATGATTTTAGTTCATAATTGTTATTCAAATTCTTAAAAATACTAGGTATACATTAAACACCATTACTTTTTTGTTGACCACTAAATAAAATTTATCATGAACCCCTGTTTAATTTTCAAGCATTTCTGTTAGGCCTAATAATTTTATCTACAGAGTAGATAAATAAAAAATTACATACAAGTTATTCAAAATTAAAATGTCTATAAATAACTCAAAAATGTAGACAATTTTACCACTCCAAAATAGGTAAATATGCCTACATCAAAATTTTAAGTCTACGGATATTTTTAACTGAATTATAACAGAAAATAAAACTGAAAATAATAGAAACATTATTTTTGTAATTTTTTTCAGTTTTTCTTACTTTTTAACCCTGGTTTTCCAAGATATTATGAAAACTACTGGGAAAATCAAAAAATATCATCTAGACAAATTTTTTTTTCAAATAAGATGCCACACTTACATATTGAAGCAAGATTTCTGGTAGAAATTTGTCAGGTATAAAAAAAACATATAAAATAAAAATCATAGTAAAACCAATACATTCTTCATACATTTCTACACTCAGAATTTAAAACAACATTAATCTCACTAAAAAATAACAACACAAATATTTTAATTAGAAATTTATTTAAAAATTTTACACACAGTTCATGTATTGCTTGTGTAACCCTGTTAAAAATTAATAAAGACTTTAAGTGCAAAATAACATAATAACATTATTTTAAAATATTTTATAAAATCCAAAAATTTAGAATTAAATAAATAATAAATTTTACCTACAAAAATATTTAAAGAATTCTTTTTTAAAGTTCATAATGTTACACAAATAACTCTTTGTTTAAATAACTAATAAATATTTATTTATAATATTGTTAATATGATAATTATATTTACTTTAATACCTTAAAAGTAATTTAAAGAATAAAAATGTATTGCTTTTAAAGCACCTAACAAAATTTAAGTTAAATGCTTTGAATGAAAAAAAAAAATTGATTAATCACTTCCCAGTTTATGTCAAATATGAAAATCCTCTTGACATTTATTTCTTTTTTAACTTGTGTCAGTAACTTGATTAATTTATATGAATCTTGAGAAGTTAACTAGAAAATCTGCAATTAAAAAAAAAAAATTACCAGGCTTTAAAATAATGAGGACATTTACACATTTTAAATATTGATTGATAAATTTTTGATAATACCACACATTTTGATTCACAATATGTATACATTATACACAAAGAAGCCATATATATATAATTTTCTGTAAGTATTTTTATTGATTTATTTTATGATTAGTCTTGAAATAAATTACAAAAAAACTATTTGAAGTTATTTAAATAATCATTGTGTAAGTGTAAATTAATCATAGTGTAAATCAAGTAACTTTAATATGTTTGTGTCATTGGCTCAACAGCATCTGGGCATTTACCAACTTACATATTCTTATGAATAATCTCCTTTTTTTTTTTAATTTCAAATTTTTACTAAAAAAATGTTTTACAGTTTTAATTTTTATAATAAAATACCACAAAACTTAAAAAAATAATAGATTATTCTTCTGATCTAATAAGGCGTTTGCAATAACAGTAGTGATGTGCCATGGGTAAATAATTAAAGAGTAGGTAAGTAAATATTTTAGGTATTTAGTCACCCAAAATTTGAGTATGTAGTTTGTCATCAAATATATGTTTAATTTATAGCTATAAGCTAAGTTTTTTACCCAAATCAACCCAAATAAATCCACACAACCCAAAACTCAAATCACAAAATTAACTAAAAAAAATAATTTTAATCATTTAAAACCCATCATAAATCATATAAAATTAATTAGCATATTAATATGTATGCATTTTTACATTAAGATCATAGTTTGCATGTTTCAATATTACAGATAATTGTTATCTTATAGTTTAATTGAATAGTCATTAATTAATGATGACAAGCATTAGTGGTCTGACTTCTTAAGTTGTTCAAGTGTTTTAACAGAATTTTATTTTTGATTAATGTTATGTTAGTACTGTTTTTTTTTTATTTTTGTTACATTATATTTTGAATTGATTTTTTTTTATCAATATTATTTTATTAAAAAAATTTAAATTGATGTAAAATAATGTATTATAAAATCTATGATTTTAAATATATATTAGATTAGATTAAATATAAAAAAGTTAGATTTATTTTCTAATGTAACAGAATGATATTTGACTTGAATAATTAGTATGTATAAAAATAACTTATTCTTAGAAATTAATATTTGTTTTAATTTCAGTATATGGAAGAAGGTATTAGTTTTAGTTTAAGATGTTTGTTTTTATTCTTGGAAAATATTTTTTTGGTACTTAGTAACAATGCTCCAATTTCATGCAATACATGAACTGAAGAAAAATTTTCACCAGTAATACATTATTTATAAAAAAAGTGTAAAATTATATAGAATTTAACAAATTAACAATGATCATTTCAGTTGATTTTTGGGTTATCTTAGCAAAAACAGTACACACTATTCCATTTAAAATCGGTTTTTCCCTGGCAATGTTTTATAATTGTACACAGTAGATAAATTTAATTTCACTGTATATTCTAACTTTCTTACTACACACCTACAACACAATGGTCTATTTGTGAGCATTATTAATTTTTTAAACTATTATTATTATTGATTTTCTAAGGGAACATAATAATAAATATTTTTTTTATTCTTATAATTCAATCATTGAATGTGAACTCAAAAAACATAAGAAATAAAATAAAATAATTATAAACCATAGGCTCCAGTAAAATATAAACTAAAACTTACACTTCTTCTTCTTCTTCTTCTTCTTCTTCTTCACTCTCACTATTTGAAAATTGTTTCATTAGCACAATAGGTGGTTGAGGTATGCTGCTTACAGTGTTCAATTCTTCATTTAGGTCAGGAATATTTTTCATTAGTTCTTTGAGAAAATCAAGTCGACTGTCTGAATAGATGCATTGTTTTCTGAAAGGAAAAATGTGTAATATTACTATATTAAGTATACAAAAATGTTTAAAATACTTACAAATGGGTAAGAGTTAAGGTCCGTGCATTTTTTTGCAATGTTATGTCCCCAGCTTTGTTTAAAAGAGTATGAACAAAAAGTTCTAATGCTCGAGGTATAGAATACATTAAGAATACATAAACATAATGCACAAAATAATTGTTTTGAAATATTATACAACTAGGTAAATAACAATGATTAATTTAAATTATTACTATATTATGTAAAAAAAAAAATGACCAGTGATCAGCAGAACTCTGTTACTTGAGTAAAAATTTCTCCAGCTAATACCTTACCAGTACAGTACTTCATTTTTAATGAATTACTTACTGTATTAATTTAACCTTACTATATTTAATACATTTATTTATTAATTCTGATGTTTAAGTTATAAAGGGACCACAAATAGAGAATAGGTTATACTGGCAAGTGATAATAGGTATTTCATGTAAATTCATAATTAGTAGTATTAAATTAATTCAAGCTCTCATTATGATATAAATCATGAATTAATATATCTTGAATAGTGATATAAATTATCTAGTTCTAATCAAAAATTGCCACTAGTAACGCTTTTTCCGGCCAAGCCCGGATTAAAACATTTAGAGACCCAAGGGCCAAATATTTAACCGATGCTCTCATTGAAAGATTAATAATATAAAACAGGGGCCGGCAACCTTTTTGGTGTCAAGGGCCAAAAATAATAAAAACAATTTTTACGAGCCATACACCTTATTTTATTTACATTTTAAATTTTAAACAATATTTAATTTTATTTATTTAAGTTTCATCACTGTTTGGTACATATATTAATTTAACATGGTATATAGGTGATAACAGAGTTTTAATAATAATACAAAAAAAAAAAGCAAAAATTAATGTGATTTTTGAATTTGAACAGCATTGACAAGTTTATTGATTGTAGGTTTGATTTTCGATGTACAAATTCTCCAAACATCATTCAAGTGATGATCCGTTAATCGGGAAGTATATTTACTTTTTTGATATTTCATGAGTGAGAAAGTTTGCTCACAAATAAAAGTGCTGCCAAACGCGGATAGTTTACTAAATTTTGTTTCACAGAGACTTCAATAAAACTAAAGTAAGTTGTGGCCATCATGAAAAGCAGTTTTAAGCATAATTTTTTCATTCATAAATATATTTATTTCCTCTTTGAGAGTAAAAAATTGTTTTAAAGATGCTCCCCTACTTAACCAACAAACTTCTGTGAAATAAATAACATCACCATATTCAGCTTCAACTTCATCTAAGAACTTTTGGAATTGTCGATGGGCTAACCCATTTTTCGTATATAATTTATGGTGGGTACAATTTTATCCATGATATTTTTCCAAGCCAAAACATTGCTACATAGTGCCTCTTGGTGTATAAACCAAGAGGCACTATGTAACAGTTATTATAAACTAACAACTGTTAGTTGATAATAACATAATGTGATATTCCATATTTTTATACTAATTATAAATTGCAATCGCGGGCCACATAAAACCGCTACATGGGCCGCAGGTTGCCGACTCCTGATATAAAATGTTTAAAAATGTTTACTAATCAATATGTTTCAACAAAAGAAATAATAAGTAGTATAGACATCATATAGATCTTAATTCAAAAGCCCCAGTATTATTTAAATAAATAAATATATTATTTTTTAAATTTGAATAAAGTTACAAGCAATTTCTTCTATATAAGAGTACTAATAATTCATCACTAGGTACTGAAAATTATATTAAAATATCAAAGTACAAAGTTGATGGTTAAATGCATACATAAGAACATACTACAGCATAAACAGAGATCCTAAAACTCTAAAAAACATCCCTCTTGCAACAACACGGTGAAGTTAATATTGAAATTCAACTAAAAATCACTTCAATCAGCCTATAAAAATATTAAAATCCTGAGTGTGAACTAATTTGATTTAGAGGAAGCCACTTAAAGCATATAAAAGTACTGGAGAAAATATATATAATATATGCAGTACACATAAATCTTCATTTTCAGAAAAAATTGACAAAAATTAACATATCAATTTAAATAATTTTCTAGTTGTTTTCAACATGAGCATGTTTTTAGCATTAGTAAAATTAAAGGCTAGTAACAATTTTAATAAACCTGTTTTCCAATTTTAATTATATATTACTAGTCATCTTAAAAAGAAAAAACATATCTAATAGAGCATATATTTTAAATAGCTGAAATGTGAAGAAAATTTAATTGAAAAATAAATAATAAAATTATTTAATTTCATAAATATAAGGGTGGGTAATGTGACTAAAATATATGACTGCCTGCTGATTCATTAAATCAATGAAGAAAATAATTCTACAGCATAATATAAATTACTCTTTATCAGCAGAATATACTATAAATACTATATTTAATCTTTCACATAATATATGTTTTGTATAACCTTTAATTTTTTTTTTTTTTTTTAAATATGAAAGTCTATTTTATTCTATATTATTGATAATAAACTATAGCCAAAATTACGTAATACTTCTTCACAAAATTAAACTCCTGGTGTAAATTCTGGTTAAAACAAATTTAATTTTTTTCAATTTAAATATGATGCATGTTACACATTAGTTATTATTATCTAAAATTATACACAGTTTATTATAATTATTTCATTTTATTACTTCAAAAATGTTTAAAAAAAAATTATATTATTATTTTTGTATTTTTTTTATACAAAACAATTAAATACCTATTTATATATTATTCAGTAATAAATTAGTATTTAAAAAGGATATAAATCATAACTGGAACCGGCAATGCAACTTTTCCAATTTCATCATCAATCCTCATAATTTTTTTAATTCTTCCCTAAAAGGTAAAAAAAAATAATTAATAACACAAAAAATAAGTATCCATAATAATCATAATAGAGTATAATTATCTCTACATTTGAGTCTAATTTTAGATTCTGGGTGAAGAGAGAAATATATTAGTTTGACCATTGATTTTACTAGTTGTTGACCAGAAGACTTGCTCCAATAATTAACATCAAAGTTGATTCCTGGTAGTAAGTTTTTTCTTGGTAGTTTATTGAAGAGATTATTTTTCTCATTTTTTCTTTATAATGAGAGAAAACTCTCAAAATGTCCTTCAACCTGAGACACTCTGAGTGTGTTAAAATAATATTATTTTTTTTTGCAATTCAATGAGAATTAATTTTAGAAACACACAATATTCACTGATTACTTATATTTATATTTTTTATATATGATAAACTTTTAGAAAATATCTTCGGTTTTTAGTTGTTTTTTTTGTAAAGGGTGAGAGTGGTTATATGGATAAATATATTAAAATACTTGATAAATGTTTGAAAATATTATATAAGATTCATCAGTTTCTGTCAGACGCCAAAAAAAAAATTCAAGATAAGTTTGTTATTACAGACTTTACGAACCCTGATTTTTAAAATCAAAATTCGTACCAAACTGAACCCAACTTTCCTTAAGATTAACAAACCCGAACCGAATCTACACATTTTTATTCAAACCCAAACCACTAGTGCGAAAAACAAAAATTCTATTTTTCTTCGTAATAAGGCCCCTCTGTCCCATCACAGAACATCACAATTAACGCAAAATTGGCATCAAGTGATTTTCGGTATTTGGTTCGATTCGATTATTTGTAATTTTCAGTCACATCTCTAGTTATTATGTATACATATATTTTTAATTTGTCTTATTATAAACAAACACATACAATCTGTAAATTAAGTATTCCAATAATCAAATTTAATAAAAGTTTTGGTAAGAGAGCAGGATCAAGATAGCCGTCCATTGATAACACCCCTAAAAGGAACTTCTTAAGAAAAACATAGGTCCCTCTACACTAGTTCCTTGTGTGTCTTGTTAGATTTCCTTGAATTTACTTAGAAGCTAGGCTATAAACAAAATGATTTGAGTAAAAGGTGAATTGTTTTTAGATGAGTTGCAAGTTTGTTTAATGTTAGAGATAGCAGTACAGTCATTTGTGATATACCAAAGTACCATTAATATTTCAAAACCAAAAATAGAAAATTGTAAATTATTTTGTAGTTACAAGTTAATACAATTTTTAATTTAAATTTATTAAAAAATATATAACTGAACTTTGCACAGAATCGTTATTTGTATACATACACTAAATCGCCATATCCTACCTTCCTACTAACAACAATGGCCTACTCATGAGCAGTAAGTTTGCTACTTTCTTTTTTTTATATATATATATTATAATGTAGTATAAGTATATGAAATTGTAATAATAAAACTTTTTATTTATAAAAAATAATCTATAATTTAATTTGAAATTTTTTAAATTCTATGGTGTTAAGTAATAAATAAGTATTTTTAAGAATTTTCCAGTTAACTCATAAAATTAAATTGCTTAAATTACAAATGACAAATTCAAAGTAAATGTAAAAATATAGGTACTTGTATTATAAGCTATCTACCATAATTTTTGCAATCTATATATATGTAGATCATTAATGTTATTAGCCAGTGGTGACCAACCATTTTTACATAGCCATAAAAATATAATTCTTGGTAGGCCAAGAATTTAAACTTTTTCTTTTAGGTTGATATACTATTAGCTGAATTACCCGTCGCTATCGGTATTAAGAAAAAAAAAATATTTTAAAAAGTTAAATGAATGAAGATATCAAAAAGTGTATGTACTCACATAAATAATTAAAATGATAGTATTTCCTTATGAACTACATTCATTATATTTTTGTATGTATATTGTTGATTGGTATTATTTGTATTTTCAATTTTTCAAATGATCTAACTTGGGACATTGCAACATATAGTTGACCATGACTAAATACAGGTTGGGGTAAATACAACCCTACTTTATTCAACTATTGGTTCTGAGCTCTGTTTATTGTCATAAAAAATGCTATTCTTATTGGAAATTGATATCTCATCAATGAAAAGAGAAGTGTAGAATCTAACATGGTTAAATCAATTCTAGATAAAAAATACTCTGGTTATTTAAAGAATTTTTGCACATACTTTATATAATAAATCTCTTACCATTTATTAGACTGGACACTGCATTTAAATTTCTTATAATAATAGTATCTTATTTTAGTGTCAAACTGCGAAGAGGCAAGTCACTTAAATGTAAACTATCTAGAAATTCTATAAGAAATTGAAAATGGTCAGTCTTCTGACACTGTGTTTAAATTTAGATAAGTTTTTTCTTGCTCTTGCAACATATTAACAACTTTTTGTTTATTTCATCACAATGTTCACTTTAAGGTGCAAGAATAGCACATTGTGAAAATATAGACATGTTTTCAAAAATTCAAAATAATATCCCAAACATATTTTTTATTAAATCACTCAATTACAATGATGGTTTTATTTCAATTAAAATAGATATCTCACCTTATTTTTTTACTCAAAATTGGTAAATACTTTAGTTTATGCTACAAACAAGTATGTAGGTAACTATGATAATAAAACTTTAGATTATATAATATATAATGTACACCACTATGTAACTACACAGAATAGTTAGTAACTAATAAATATTTAATCTTTCAATTTTTTCTCATTAGATGGCTCATCTATACACCGAACACTTGTGTTTTTAACAGAAATCACTAAAATCAGTAGTGTATCAGATATAACAATCCCAAGTAATTACCTCACATTTTAATAATATATTGGATATATTATATTTTATTGAAAGTACATCTTAATATAAAGTTATAAATTGAATTATTTATTATGTAGGTAATGATTGTTGCAAATAAGAAACAAATATACAGTGTTAAACATATATTTTTTTTTTTTAATGTGAGTGTTATTTTGAAAATTAGAAGTTATTATTTTTTTTTTCAATTTGAATTTAATACTTTAGTGAACCACATTTAGCCCACGGGCTGTAGTTAGACATCACTATCATAAGCGATATATGATAGTCCAGTGTAATTGTAAACAAAATAATACGTACAAATAGTTTATTCAAATATAAATTAAACTATATGAATATTAGGAAATTAAAAGATAGTAACAAAAACAAAAAATATTTCATATTAAAAGAAAACAAATAATTAAGTAACTAAAATGTATAATATATCAGTGACGCTTACATATCAATTGTCAATGCATAACTGGTGGTAGAATTAAGAATATTGTTTCGAGGTATTTCCATGGGGCACACTCCGCGGGGGGGGGGAAGTAGCCTATTAATGAGTAACCATATTTTTGGTACATAACTACATATATGCAAAGTTACAGCTCAATCTGTTCAGTAGTTTTGATGTGAATGGATACCAAACATCCAACAATCCAAACAAATAACGCATTTATATCTAATATTAATATGATTAGTGGGGTAGCTTATTTGATGTTAGAAAAATAACAGTAATCAAGTTTGAATATGATAGGAACCAAAAATAATGTGTTTATCGTGTAGACCAATAAGTATTAGGCAACACAATTTAAAATCTATGTAAATGATTACCCAGAACCAAGTATATCACAATTACAAACTTACCAATTTGGTACTTGGTACTTACAGCAGGAAAACGAGCGTTGTACTTTCTCTTTTTGCTAGGCATTTCTAATGAATATGATGAAGTAATTGCAACGAGCAAATTAATTGCAATTCACAAGACTAAAAGCAATTGGATGTTTTATAATTCGATTCAAAAAATACAATCAATAAAGATGGTTTACAATCATTATTTTAATGAAACGTAATATTTTAAATGAAGTATCTGAAAGGTTAGTTGTTATCTTGTAACAAATAAGAATATTCCGCTTGTCTGAAGTTAGACGCGGACTTCTTATATTTCATAATAGTGACATAACAACCGTGACATATTGATAAAATTCCGAATGCGTGAATGTTTGTTTTATACATCTGTAGGTTATCTGTCTTATCGGCTATCATTCCATAAAATACGTCGTTCGGAAACGTAAGGTTAATAATATGATAATATCACTATTCACTACTATTCACTATTTAGTACCTATTTCAATAGTACCACAGAATATACCTAGTAGTGAATTGCCGAAGCCGAGTTCTAGGTTGTGTTTAGACACTAGATCCAAACCGGCCGATGTGTACAATAATTATAATTGGTTTCAATATATATATATATATATGTCCATGGTTTTTAAATAGTCATTCATATTTATAATGTCACAAGAAATGTAAAGTTATTAGTTTGATTAATAACAAAAAGTAAGAAAAATATGTACTCGTGTGTATAATATTATTTGTTGTAATTATTGTGTTAAATAATTTCAATCGTAATTAAATGGCTTAAAAACTACCGCCTGCTCCTTATCACTGGAGTCTACAGAATGTTTTGTGTGGTATGGAAGGTTAGTGTTTCCGTTGTTGATATTTTATTGTTATTATTTTTATCAATAATATTATCACTCGAAAATACGAGCGAAATTAACAAAAGTCAGTGGCTAACGTGATTTTGTTATCACGGCGGCCGACTAAAGCGCAGTGGTCATTCATTCACCATGACAGCCAAAGTTCCAAAATTAAACGAAATACAAGTTCAAATGTTAAGTTGCGTCTTTGACGGCTTACCACCGCGACTCTGTATACCTAATATAATATATTATATTACGTGACCGTGTTCACATGATATGATTGTTACAGTCGATAGTCGTGCTATATCAATTAAATAATTACTTTCAATTTTAAAATATTGGAAGCTGCAATAATTATAAAAGCGATAACGATAATATTATTGCAGTTTTGATAGTGCGCAAATATTGCGGGACGCCTTCCGGAGGTCGTGCACACTGGTAGCTGCTGATCTGGGGGTGGCGTTTTCACCCGACCGTTTTCGCCCCCTGACCGTGGGCGAACGATGAGGACGCACCAAACGTCAACGGGAAACGATGGCCCACTGACGTGAACTTAGACGCACCTGATCGACCGTTCTTGCAGTTCACCAACACTAGACGCGGAAGAATCGGAGACGACGTCGTTCAAAGGAATCGGCTGTCACCAAAATTCACCGGGTGACCGTGGGGCATTATGTTCTCCGTCAACACTTTTGATACTCGCGGGTAAGAGTTTTGTTTGGTTATTTCCCTCCGTCGTTTCCCCCGCTACCTATCCCTGCAGACACGGGCTGTTTATTGATCGATAAGAGGGAGGTACGCGAATAATATGGTACCTACCAACGGTACCTAATAATAATTTTTTTACCAAGCTGTTATAAAAAATATTTACAGTCCATATGTTTGATATTTTAAGTGTTTTTTTTTTTCATCCTCCGTGTAGTCTACTTTGTTCGTAAGAAGCATATGGTGCTTTCTCATTTTGAATGCTAAGTAAATTATCGTTAGTATGTATGTGACATGTAAAGTTTTGTAGTATGGAGGGGGGGGGACTTCGAGTCCTTTGTCGAATTCCTCTACCCTTTAATATTTTTCGTTGATCGCAATTTGTTTGAGTCACAGTAATAATATCATTCCCCACATTCAATTGTTGTCCATTCTTATATGACCAGAGTATAAAATCCACCATTCACCCCTCCCTCTCTCCTCCATCAATGTGTAAAATTTAATAATTATTAGTTATCCATTTGTGTGTTTTTTGCGTACGAAAGAAATTAATTTTATTATTTGTTTGTGCAAGCTGTGGTGGCTGAACGTTTTAACGTTACCACTCACTGCCTTGACTTATTAGGTTCAAGCATATTGCATTTTTAATATCAATGAATTTCTGTTTTTAATTTTTCATGCAATACAATCCTTGAGCCAAGGTTTCCATAAATATAGTATAGGAATCATTCTAACGGAGAAATTATGAAAATAAATTTAAATGTGTATTTAGAATAATTATTTATACATATGATATGTACATTGACGGCTAAGATTATGAAAAAAAAACTAAAGTAGAATCTTTATCATGTGCTAAATATGGTACACTTTGAACTAGAGAGTTAGAATTTAATCCAAAAACATGGTTTAATTTAGTTAAAAACAAAAGTTCCTGTTATTTTAGCATTTCAAAGAATACCTATCTACCTAACCTAACTGCTAATTTAATCATTTACTCATAACTCATCTTACTAACCACGACAACTTAGTGGATGATTTTAAGATATTTTTTAAGAGCTTTTTGGTACCAACACATACATAATTGTGGCACTGTGTCTTATATAGTTACATTGATTGTTTACTTGTTTATGGGATACTCATCTGATATGAATAGTTCACAGTAAATTGCCTATCGTACCTGTTTATAACACCTAATGATGTAGTATATGACTAAAGTTAATTATTGTTAGTAAAGAATGTGTAAATTTATCATATTTTCTTCTAAAATAGAAATGTATTTGCTGCTTTATTAAAATTTTAAAAATTGGTTTACCATAATTTGATCAATTAAAATTGAAAGTTAGTATTAATAATAAAAACTATGAAATAAATTACAATTATTCTTTTTATTTTTATTAAATTTTATTATAAATTTGAACATCAAATCCTTTTAAAAATAAAAACAATTTGTTACTTTACTTTATTTTTTTTTATTATTTAGGCTTTGCGAGCTATTTAGACTTTTGGCTGCCAAAACTACTTTCCATCATTCTCAATCATATACCTATTCCCAATTCGTCTGCTCCAATTTCTTCTAATAATTCCTTGACGCTGTCCTTCCATAATTTCCGCAGTCTTCTTGGTCTCGTTCCTCTCACTATATATGTGAATGCTCCTTTTAGTATACTTCCACCGGCCTCCCATTGTTTCTTTGCCCCTCTGATAAATTGGACTACATCTTCTCTTTTGTAAAGCTGGTATAGCTGGGTGTTAGTTTTTATTTCTCATTTTTGTTCTATATTTTGAATATGGGTTCATAGATTTTTTTAAGGACTTTTCTTAAACTGTGTAGTTTTTTATCATCATCTCTGCCGTTGCCCACTTGGCGCATACATTTGTCAATACAGGACAGATTTAACTTATACATAAATGTTCTTTTGTTTTTCTTGAAAACAGTTTAGATTTAAAGAGATCTCTCAGTACATAAAAGTACTCATAGAAGTATCAATCTGATTTTGATCTCTTCATGCATGTTGTTTTTGCTATTTAGGGTAGTACTGAAGTAATTGAACTTCTTGTACTTGCTCAAAGGTTAGGTTAGGTTGTTATTTCCCACGTGCAAGTTATTATGATCACCCTTCCTCGTTTTATCCCATCATGTTCCACTGTTAATTTCTTGGCTAATATCTTTTTCTACCTATTAGTTTATTAACAATACTTTGAATACCCTCTTGTGATTTCCTGATGACCACTATGTCTTCTGTGTATGCTAGTAAGACATTTCCTTCGTCAAGGTTTTATGTTGTAGTTTGTGATATTTTCCTTATTACACTCTCCATTGCTATATTGAAGAGCACTGGTGACATCACATCTCCTTGTTTCAATCCATTTTTTAATTATAACCATGACTCGGCTACTGGTCTTCGTGTTACACAGAGTTGTATCATGGTGATTAGTTTAGTTGGTACACCAAAATGTTTAAACAATTTTTATATTCTTTTTTTGTTTATGCTATCATAGGCTTGCTTATAGTCTACAAATGCAGATCTTTTGGGAACTCGTATCTTTTCCATAATTTGTCTTATGACAAACATGTGATCAGCAGTTTATTTATTTTTCATAAATCCTCTTTGGTAGTTATCTATTATATCGTCTGTATAATATTTGCAATCTTTTGAGTATGATTAATGATAATACCTTATGCCCAGTGTTCAACAGTGTTATTCCTCTGTAATTCTATACTCAGATTTAATACTTCTAGTTTTGCTGTATAATATGTGCTGTCTTCCTGTTCACCTACATCCATTGTTGAGTCTTTATTAAGGAGTTTTTCAAAGTATGCTCTAAATTCCTCAGCAATATTCTCTGATCTAGTAATTAGAGTATCATCATTATTTTATATCATTTGTATAGCTGGTATAAATCTACTTTTGATTGTTTTGCAACATTTGTAGAATTCTCTGTGATTGTATTTAAAGTTTTCAATGTCTTCTAATCAAGTAAAATCAAAACCATTAAAAGTGATTAATACAAGTAAATAAATACATACATTTTTTATTTATAATTTTTCATTTTATATATTTATTTACTATGTTTTTTGATATATTTTTTTTGCTATTTTCTATTCTTATCCGTACAGTTACTTCTCTACGCTTTTTCTTAAATTCCATAATGTTCTCATGGAAGTTTTTGAACATTTACTTAAATGGATCACCTGGTACATCCAACATAGTAATAAATTACTGATTATATTTATTTCAACTCATATTTTGTAAATTAATAAGTGGCATCAGGACGAGATATTTCAATGTCCGATTATTTATTGTATCAAATTTCTTGTTAAACCCATATCATAAAATCCGAATGGGTATCACACACTGGTATAAACAATATCATACCAATCTTTTTTCTACATACGGGTGTGTATAAATAGGAATCTATGTGGTATATTGGTTGAATTTTCCGAATTTCTAGTACATATAGAGAGAAAAAACTTAAATCGAATTCACTATCATGGAGACCTTAAAATTCCTTTAATCTGTGTAATAATTTATGTATTTATTTTTTTTTTTTTTTCAGTTATCAAAGAGAAGACCTGAGAATGATCATTAAATAATTATTCCTATATGAGACACTGATGAAATATAACCCATGTAAAAAAATGTTAAAATATTAAAAAATGATTTTTACAATATTGTTCATGTATAGAATATAATTTGTGATTGTGTTTTCATTTTCTGTCTACAATTTATAACCTTTCAATATTTTTAGATTCTCCATTAACGAAGGTTATAGTACAACTACTCCTATATAAATTTAATTGCTCTATGGTCAAGGACATATGTAAGAAAAGGGGATTAAACACCCATCTTTAAATAATTACAATTATTTTTTTAACTTCCAATTAACTCTTATAACAAATGATAGATAGCCAGAACCCCTTCCATCCTCATAAATAATATATACCTATACCTCTGTTTACAGTCTACATGAATTTTAGATTTTGAGCAAAGGGAGGAATGTACCTATTGATTTTACTATGATATGTATTAGGTCTGTAAACAACTTCCACCAGAAATTTTGCTCTGATATATGGAGTGTACTACCTTTTCTGAAAGGAAATTTTACCTAGTTGGTGCATTAAACAGGTCATTTTTTGATTTTCTGAAGAATATTCAAAATAATTAGAAAATTATAAATAAAACATCAAATATTAATGGCGTGCCATGTTATTACCAATTTCATTGTTTTCAATTTTTGCAAACTAATTACGTTTTCTACTTTAAATACTGCTTCAATAAAAAAACAAGATCTTTTTTGTTGCACTTTTAATCTTGCTGTTAGTTAAGAAAGCTGGTTTTCAATTTTCCTTATAGTTTTTTTTGATAACCGATCAAAGTACAACCAAAAAAACGTAGAAATATGACAAAATTTATGAAAATAAGTTAACAATATGTATAAACTTGAAATTTTGACACAAAACTTATATTTATCTTTCCTAGACTTAGTAAAATTTTTGAAATATTAGAGCCATTTTTGAGTTGTTAGTAGATATTTAAGATTAATGATTATAGATTATTTTAATTTCGTCAGTTTTTTATGTAATATTCATTTAGTAGGTACTTATTGGGTAAAATTGTTATATTTTGATTCTATTTCAGCCTAAATTATCCAGATTTATTTAACAGTAGTCAAAATATATAATTTAAAAAATGGTTTTGGAATTAAAAATTGAAATTGATCATAAAATCCATCCATTGATGGACCACAACTATATAAAAGTAAACCGAGGTAAGTTTTGATTAATGATGTATATATATTTTAATATAATTTTAAATTAAAATTATATTCATTTTCTAGGTGTTAACCTCAAAATTGATGCCAAAAAAGAATCGACCAATAATAATGAAAAAATTGTTAAACAACAACTATCGAATGATCATAATTACTTTTTACCAAGTATTTATATTTATTAATGGATTATTTCTGAAATATTAATAATTTTGTAATTGTAGATATCAATATTGTTAAGAATAAGCAAAAGATCCAGCAACATTTAAAAGAACATTCCTACTGTAAACCAAGTATGCACATTAATTAAAACACACTTTAAATATATTGAAATTTTATGTAAAAGTTGAAAATATCATAGGCTTTCTAGGTTTAGAAAACAATCATTTACCTGAAAAAAACTCTAATATTTCCCAAAATGAAGCTGTAACCAACAAAGAAAAGAACAATAATGAAACAATTAAGAGTAAGTATTATTTCTGAAGAGTATTTTTAAGGAATTTAATATCTTTAATCTGACACATATAGAACTATGCAGAGAATTACAGTTTTCAGAAAATTGATAAGAAGCCAGTCACAATATTTCAATGTTGCCAATCTATACAAAACAATTTTTTTAAATTGTATAGTTTATTCATAGCTGCTAACCAATTTCCTAAATTATAGTACAATAGTTTAATATTTTATGTTTTTTCATAACCCTATTTTCGAGATAATTGATAAGTACCTAATTCCAATACAGCTATAGATTAATAAGTTATAGTTATAAAACTATAACTTATTACCAATTAAAGGTACTTCACCTATAATGTTCCTCTTCACATTTTGTTGCACAACATATCTAGGGTTATTTTAAAATTGAGTGAACACAACTTTATTTAACTTTTTTTCTTTACATTAGCTACAATTTCTTATCATTTTTCTGAAAATTATGTAACTACCCAGAACTATAAAAGTATCAAATAATTTGTGAAGTCCAATTTGTAAATTCTAAGGTATACCTTTGGCAGGTTTGGCCCCCACATGAACTTGTTCAGCGGGACCCATTATCTTTTTGAAGAAATAAACGATAATAATACATTATTACTAAAGACTGGATTTTGCATCAAATACATGCTACTATTTTCTACACCATATAAATGCAGTTAATAATTGTCCTATGGTTGTCACCACACCTGGAATACAGGGAAACTTGAAAAAGCTAAGGGATTTAAAATTTTTTTCCGGGACTTAAAAAAAAACCGAAGAAAACATTTTTAATCCGAAGAATGTATTTATGATAGGATGTTTTCAATGCTATTTATGGTTTTAAGAATTATAGTATATTAAAAATTAAATTAGATGGGTTATCCAAAAAATTTTATCAAACTTTCAATGTTGATTTTCAGAAATTTATACAGTCTACTATTATCATGATTAACCAGATTAATACCACTAACTAAATAAGTTGGTGCAGCTGTTTGCATATTACATTTCAATAAATTTGTGAAAAAATATATCTGGCTACACAGATTTTTAATATTTTTCATTGTCTAACTTCAATTATTTGTATATGTTATGGTATTATGTATTATAACATTTAATTAGTAATTAATTTTGTTTGTTTTGACGAGTTATTAGTTAACTCTAACTAAACATTAAGTTTTTAAACTATATTCTAAATTTGTTTTTTGTTATTGTTATAATTTCTAAAATAAAAAGCAATTAGTGGTGTGGTATGGAAGTGTAGGCTTAAAAAAGATATAAATAATAAACATTCTTTCTATTGTATTCTATTTTATAGTAGATATTTTTTAAAAATATTTAATTGATATTGAGATAATTGTAATGATATGAAAAGTTTTAAAAAATATATCCCAGAGAGTCAGGGAATTTGTCAATTTCAAAATTGTTAACCATAAATCCATAAATAAAACCATAAATCATAATTCTATTTTCTGTATGTTTCGTATATTTTTTGGTTTATTTGTTACTATAAACAGATTCAAGTAAAAACATTATGTTTGTGTGTCTTATAGTGAAAATGTGGCTTTACCTGTTTTAGCTTAATTGTTTATTTTATTTAATCTTGTAGATAAAATGTGCAAAAAAAAACATACTTTTATACTCATACAACTGGTAGTTAAATTAAATTATAATAAATTGTAATTATAATTATTATTTAAATTTTAAATGTTGTTGCCTGAGTGTCTTTTAAAACATGTACAACCTAACAGTACAGTTAGTAAAGATTAATAGTTGTGTACAAATATACATTAAACTCCCCTCTATATCTTATCTTCTTGACTTCTCACCATAACAGTAAACCAACCATCATGGAAAGTATGCCAGTATATTTTTTTTCATATCAAATTACACTAATATTGTTATTTTTAATAGTTATTGAAAACCAAGTTCCTGTTCAACAATTGGAAGATCTTACACTTGTGCATTCTAAGGAAGAAGCCTCAACATATACTATATTACCAGGTGTCAGGCTTAATTCTCAAGTTTTTATGGACAATTTAAATCACAGATATTACAAATGTTGCAAGAGGAAAGACAAAATGTAAGTAATTATTGTATTGAAATTATTCAGATTAGACTATTTAGGTGCCTGTATATATGCTCTTATTTATTTTTATTCGATTTTGGCAACAAATCATTGAATTATATTAAAATAATCATCTATTTTTTTTAAACTATTAAGATATTTAGTATGTGAAAATAAAAAGAACAAAGTCAAAAGTTGTCCAGTACTGGCGACCATAAGTATAGATTTGAATGACAATAGAATAAAAACAACTGGGCCGCATAAACACTTACCCCGACAAGTAAACATCCCTATGCTTTTTTTTAGAAGAGCTATAGCAATAGAAGCTAGCAAAACTGAATTGTTGTCTACCTCTGTTAGACAGCTATACGATCAAGAAATAGCTAGGTAAGCAAGTAATGAATATTAATAATGTTGATGAAATTCTGCAATATCAATAATTTGTTTGAACGGAGTGATTATTGGGGACTATGACAAATAAATTTTATTTTGCCCTTTTTTAAATTAAATAACAATAATGTATACCTTTGTAAAGTGGTTTTACTATTTATATAAAGATCAATGAGACATACTTAATAGATTTTTTTACTGTTTTCAGAAATCCAGAAGGTGCCAAAAATTATTCTATTTTACAATCTCAAATGTCTGTAAGAAAACGACGATATCGTAGTCGTCGTTTAAATAAACCAGAAAATATTCAAGAAACTCCTAATATCCCAAGACAAGATATATTAGAGAATAATTTGCGTACATTTGTCAAGTTAAATCAATTTAATAAGTTTGATACATTGGATATGTCAAATAAAGTAGATAAATTAGATGAAACAGAGAGACCAAATAAACTGGCTAAAATGGATATGTCAGTTAGATCAGATAAGTTGAATAAATTGGACATATTGTTCAATACTACAACTACCACAGTTCCTTTTACATTTATGAATCCACTACCCTCAAGTAAGGGAAACAAATTAAGTAAAATTAAAAATTGTTTGTGAAAAATGTTTTATATTGATAAAATTTAACTAATTTGTTTATATTAAATTTATAAATGAACAAAAAAAAAAATTAAAATAAGAAAAATGTATATCCAGGTTGATTAATCTATCATAAGACACTCATTATCTCTGAAAGTATTAACTTTTTTTGACATTTGTTTTGTAGAAAATTTTAAAAACATCAACTGTGCAATTTTATGTTTATGTTATTTTTTGTCATCCTAATGTTTGAGAGTAGTGGTACTTTCTTAAACCACCATGTGACAAAAAATAATGTAAATGTTAAATTTTAGAACAGCTTGTTCCTTTAAAACAAATTTTTGATAAAAGTTAATATTGAGTGTTTTACGATAGATTGATCACCCCATATATATATGTAAAGTGGGTAAAATACAATAACTGTTAGTATACATATTACCCGGGTAATGTGAACCTCATCCATATGAACAGTGTAATGTATACATTATCCACCTTAAATATGTAGTATCCAATCAATTTATACATTATCTGCTTTGCATTATATGCTGTGGATAAAGTACTCGTATAACTGTAATCATAAACTTATAATGTCGGTACAACATGACCAATGCATCAAACACTTAAAATGGTACATATTATACAGTCTTTCTAGTAGCAAAACCAAATAATACTAATTCAAAAAAAATTATTATTATTACTATTAAACTATAAATTGTATATTTGAACAATTTTACTATTTAATTAATTAAAATTTAAAAATGAAATACAATTATTTATTAGAACAATTTGAGTTCGGTTGACATTTTGAATTACAAAGTATTCCCGGATTTTCATTTACATTTATTTGTTAAGCATTTAGTTTTACATAAACACTTCTTAAAACCTTGCACATTAACTATTTCAAAAGATTTTTTTGTGGCTAAAACTTCTAAAATATCTATTAATGGTTCAGAATATACTTTACCCACTCAGTCATAGATAATGTATAAAATACCTGAGTAATGTTTTAAAAATAGTATTTTTACTTCATCCAATAGGTACAGGTAGTGTACATATTACCTGGATAATATGAACACTAACCATATTTTGCATTTTACCCTTACATATATATAACATATATTTAACACATATATTACATATATTTAACATATATATATATATATATGCTGTAGGCCATATGAAAAATAAGTCTGCATAAAGACTTGGTTCTTTGCAAAGGGATAGCTTGTTTGCAAACTACTTATTATTTTTCCAAACAGCTAGCTGTTTTTCAGGCTTATTGCAGACAGACTGATAGCAGTCAGGCCTTTTAAGAGCTACCATAAATTATTATTACTATAACAGCAATTTTATTAAAATTTATTACTTTTACAAAAACAAAAAGGAAAAATATAATATATAAACTCTATCTTTTATATTTATTTATTTTATTTAGTATTTATATTTACAAATTAATTATTATTTCTTAGTGCATGTTTTTTTTGTGGCATTTTGAGCTACACAATACATTATTTTCCAATCAAATTGCTATATAATAATTGTAGTTCTTTAATGGCCTAACTGCTATCAGTCTGTCTGTAATAAACCTGAAAAACAGCCAGCTGTTTGGAAAAATCATAAGTAGTTTGCAAACAAGCTATCCCTTTGCAAAGAACCAAGTCTTTATGCAGACTTATTTTCCATATGGCCTACAGCATATATATATATATATATAACTACTTGGAAAAATAATAAGTAGTTCTCAAACTATAAAGGGATTACCCTTTTGCAAAAGGATCAATATTCCATATGGCCTAAAACATTTATTTGATGTGTGTACTTAATCTACTTAAAGTGTAATTATTTTAATCATTACATAAGTGAATTTTTAATAATGTATGAATTTGTGCTAAACATTTTGGCCTATAATAACAAACAATCCAAAATTATTATTTTTTATATGCACATTTTACCGAATATGAAAATGTGAGTCTTCATGTTTCAGTAAGTAATTTGTCGGCTCAACTTGTTCAGTATTCAAAGGATGTCCAAATAACAACAACAAGCCAGATAGATATTGATCAAACTCTACCGAAAAACCCGATGCCGAAAAACTATTCGTATACTATAATTTCTGATGTTCAACAGTCCTCAAGAACATTTATTGACAATTTGTTCTATAAATATTATAAATATTCAAATAATAATAACATTGTGTAAGTATTATGAATATTGTATTAATTTCTTTAATAATATTATTTTACCTATATAATTGTAGAATAATTTAATGGTTTTGTTTCAAAATTTGTTTAGATATTTAGAATGTGAATTTCACAAGAAAAAAAAGTCAGAATTTTGTCCAGTTACAGCATCCATAAATATTGGTTCTAAAGATAGGGAGTTAAAATTGTCTGGGCTACATACTCATTTACCCCCAAAGAATTCAATTTAAGACCCAAGAAAAATGTTAAAATGTATTGTCAATTAATAAGTTGAAATTATGCCTACTATACCAAACGACTATAAAAATAAGAAAACAGTAATGTAAGTGCGAAATAGTAACCACACTAAATATTATTTGCAGTACAATACATCTATAATGCAAAAAAGTTGTGTACTATATTTTTCCTTACCTGGTAATGTCCATATTTTCAATAAATGGTTGGTGACTCCCAGATCTCATTTTCCAACAGACATGCTTAAATTATTACATAAATATTTGGGTTTGGTGTGTAGAGCCAGTAGGGGAAACCTTACTGGTTTATTTATTTAAAATTGTTAACCAAGGGCTGTAATAATAATTATTATTTTCATGATATGCATTATGTAAGTAGGTTATTAGGTATATTTTTAGTTACATTGTTCTACCTATTGTTTATGATTTATGTTTAATTATACCACACATTCAACTATATAGTAATCTATAAAGTATTTATAATTATATTGTTCTATTGCTGATCCAAAAATAAACTAACAAACTTTATTAAGTTATACACTCTATCTATTCCTCAATTAATCTGATGGCCAATCATCAGATAGAAAAGATATTAAAAAACAAAATTCTATTTAGTAGAAAGAATACTCTGGTGATAGATTGTGAATATGTCTGATTGATAATAATGAATTTAGGAATATGGATTTCCATTTAATTAATAAAGGAATAAGTGGGTAGTATAATATTATTATTGTATTTAATTTTGAGTAATTTATTTCAGATAGAGATGTTTATCAAAAAAAATTAAATTCTGGATCCACAGCTGTCCTTGAAATTTTAGGGATAAAAGTAAAATTTTAATATATATTCTATGTAATTTATTGTGTAAAATATAGTTCTCATAAATGTATACATATAGTATTTATAGTACCTATAAATTTGCATCTTTACAAATTAATATTATTTATTTATTTAGTTAGTATTTTCATTAACTCCTCACCTCTAGATAATACTTAAGTGTTTTTAATTAAATGAGTTCCATATACATGTAAAAAAAAAATTGAGTTACCTTTTAAGACTGTTAAATTGTTTTACTTTTTAGGAACTTAATTTAAGTGTTAAATTAAATTAATAACATGATGTACACCGAATAACATATATTTATAATCTGTTTTGCCATGTTGATTTTATGTTTTCTCAAATCTCTAAATATATCTCATATTAAATATTACATTTACATATTAAATCCTTGTCAATTGCATTACCAACTGATAAAATTAATTTTATGGCAATATTTCTCAATGCTTGTTTTATTAAACTAATACAATTTCTTCACTTAATGTCTGACTGAAACATATTATTATCTCCCTATGTTGACAATCTATCAAATAATACTACTGCAATTTTATTTAATTCTTTTTTATTTAAAATTATATTTAGATTTAAGGTAATCATTTGTAACCATTGTTTCCTACTTAGTCCCTCTAATGTTCTTAAGATATGAGTAATATATTATAATATGTATGGATCCACAATGAATATTGTAAAAATATTCAAGGGATTAACCACTATTTAAAATTATTTATGCACCAGATTAATGACCCAATCCCTTGGTTATAAAGTATTGAAATGTCCATGTTTATAAAATATTATGTATTTATGTTTTTTTATTTATATTTACGTATATTCCATATATATAACTTTAAGAAGAATTTTCTCAATATTTAAATTATTTATAATTTTATCTTAAATATTTGTATTTGTTCCAATTTTCATATTGATTTATTATGTTACACATTACTTTTTTTGTAAAATTACTTATTAAGATGTTTATTTCATAATTCATAAAAAGTTAATTTTTTATGTACATACCTATTTCTAGTCTTAATTTTTAACCTTACATAACAAAATAAGTTAATATGCTATACAAAAGTTAATAAATGTTTAAATTATCAATAATATTAATTAAAATTGGTATTACACTATTTGGTATATTTGAATTTTGTTTTTTTAGTTATAATTAATAATACACACTTTCATACACTGAATTGTTTTTATTGTTGTTTAGATATGCATATGCAAAACATAACTTTTTCTTAAATGGCAACTATTATTAGCTATGTACAGTGTTGTAAAAGTTCTTTCTAAAAAAGAAAGTTGTTACAGGAACAACTTTCTTTTTTTTTATGAATACCTAATGCACATCAAAAGTATCTTTTTATATCCTTTATTTGAGATTAATAATATCACTAATGATTTTGCTTTGTAAGTATTAAAATATACAATTAATTTGACATTGAGGGTTTTCATTTGTTACTTGTGAAAACTAGGTATTTACCTCTAGTTTTCATAAAAAAAATTGTAGTGTGAATTTGTTAAGTCAACTAAAATTAGAAACTATTCTTAGAGTTGACTTGTTAAAAATCCTAGTAAATTAAATCTATTTTCCTGTTAAAAACAAAAAAGAATAACAATATATTCATTCTTATTTCTAAAAATAATGAATTAATTCATGTTCCTATTCCTTTATAAAATAATATAATTAATTCCTTCATTTGTTTCTCTAAAAAAGAATCAATTCCAGGATTTGTCAATTCATAATTTCCTGCATTTAAGTGATAGAAACCATTTGTCTAAATCTAAAATTAACTGAAATATTGAAATTTGATTTTAAATATGTTTGACGAGTCAATTTTATACTATTTTACACATAACTTAGTAAATTTGTAATATGAATGTTGTGAATTTCATTATTCATGTTGGAGAGTGGGTTGATATTTAAGAGATAAAAGTAGTATTATGCTTATACAAATCTTAATAACAGTAAACAATTTCAAGTGCATGTAAATGTATATTATTGGTAACTAAAATATTACAAATAACAAAAAATATTAATTTGCATGCATGGCTCTGTGAGTGTTTTCAATTAGCTTTTTCACACTGTATAAAAAACTTATAACTATATAAAAACTAAAATATATGAAAACGTTTTAAATTCTGTGTAGTGAAAAATGTATTGGTATTACAAAGATTGTTTTTATATATATATATATACTATGAAAAAAATTTCATGGCACCATTTCTGAATATTGTCTAAAATTTAGATAGTACTTTAGGGAAGTCATTTTTTTGATTTTGAGAGGTTTTCATAATAACTGGGACAAACCATAGGAAAAATGGGAAATTTTTAAAAATAATGCGTTTTATCATTTTCAATTTTGTATTTTGTTATTATTAAGTTAAAAATATTCATAGAAACTTAAATTTTGGATAGAATACTTATATTTGCATTTTCTAGACGTAGTAACATTTTTTGAAAACGTTAGCCACTTTTGAGTTTTATTGATATTTTAATTTTGCAAGCTTGGTTGTTTGAATTAAAATTTGGAATCTTTATTGTGTAGGAATTATATGGTAAACGTTTTAGACTAAACATAAATGTTTGTGAATTTAACATGAGGTCATTACAAGTTGTACTTTAAGGTAAAAAAAAATTTGAGCTTGAATACATTTTTTTTATTTAAGAAATTTTAATATCAAAGTCTGATGAAAATTGTTTGAGTAAAAAATTTTGTGAAACAAATCTAATTTTTCATTTTTTTTATTTTGTTTTGAGCATATATGTATATTGGCGATTTAAGAATGATGTTAAAGTCTGAATTGAGCACATTGACTTAGTTCCAAAATTATAGTATTTGAAGTTCTGATATTATGAGGATACTCATAATATTTTATTGTTCCTATTTTGTCCCCTATTTATTGTAACCATTTTTATTGTCTCAAATTTATGTAAAAAAATAAATGGAACATTAATAGATCAAATTGAAAATGTTGGTAGATCAAGCCCAATCAAAGGATGTGTTAGTTAATCTTTAGATCAAAATGGACCAACAATTAATTCAGGATTTCATTCAAGATTTAAATTTGATGGTAGATTCGAAGCTGTTTGGAATTTATCTAATCTATATTTAGGTTTCTTTAAAGATATTCAACATCCAGTTTTCAAAGGAGGAATTAAGATAAATTTGTAAAAATATTTGGCTAGAAATTTATGGACAGATATCCACAAGAATCATTAAATTTAGATTGGAAGAATAAGAAACTTTCACTTGTTTATGATATGTATATATCATTTAAGAAAACTTTCCATAACACACCAAAAACTTCTGATGTATCTCACCTCATGAATTTAAAAAAGCAAGACCAATGTATGTATTAAAAAATCTTGCTAGACAACTGAATAATGTTAATGGAAATAGAAATAATATTATTTTAAATGTAGAATTTAATGAGGATGTACTAAATGGAATAATTTGCTATATTTATTTAGTTTCAACTTCTGAATTTACACTTGATATTGTTCACAATACAATTAAAAAAACCATCTAAAACTATAAAAAATATTCTATTAACAAAACAAAATTAATTTATCATTCCAAAAAGGAGAATAAAAATACAAGGTATTCATGATTTATAGGCTGCTGATTTAGTTATGATGAGAAATTTCAGGTATGAAAATTCAGGTTATTTATATATTTTGAATTTTATAGATACTTTTTCAAAATTTGCTTGGTCTGAATCTCTTAAGAAAAAAGATGCAAAAAATGTTACAAAATCCTTTGAAGAAATAATAAAAAGAGCTATGATAAAAGAACAGACTTTGTAAATAAACAGTTTAGAGAAATATTAACAAAATACAATATAAAATTATATCATACACAAAACGAAGAGAAATCTGCAATTATTGAAGGTTTCAATAGAACTTTAAATGGTAAAATGACAATACAGTTTGAAGTTCAAAATAATAAAATATGGATTGATATTTTCAAGATTTATTGAACGAATATAACTTTAAAGATATTCATCAAACAATTGGAATGATACCATTTGAAGTAAATAAATCTAATTCGAATAAGTTTTAATTAAATTATTCCCTAATAAAATATCAAAATCAAAAACTAAATTTAAGATTGAAGATAGGGTTAGAATAATGAAGTTGGAGAAAACCTATGATAACAAATTTAATTCTAATTGAACACAAGAAATATTTATCGTTACAGAAATATTGAACACAAATCCAATTACTTATAAATTTAAAGACTTAAATATGTAAACTATTAAAGGAAGTTTCTATAACGAATAATTACAGAAAACAAATTTTTGGTGCAAAAGAAATATTTTAAACAAGATTGTCTTATTTAAAACATGAATTTGAAAAAAAGAAATTGAAAATTGAACCTTGGTTAAAAAGTATAACCTATAAAAATGGAAGAAAATAATAATGTTGCAGCATATAAAAATTGGTTTAGATATTTAAGATAACCAAGATATCAAAAAAATGATTTAAATGCAATTATTGAACCTAAATTTCACACTATACAGAGAATTGATATTCTAATACTACATTGATATGTATACAAAAAAGAACAAACATTAATGAAGGACCAACATTATTTTTTAACGAACCAATTTAAAGAATTATTGCATCTGATGTAATAAGTTCGAGATAAATAGACGAGTTAATATGAGAATTTTTATTTTCTCTTTCAAATTCTACATTAGGTATTTTAGACGCAAATCTTTTCCTATATTTACAAAATGTTCATTAAGTAAATTACAATCAATTCCAGTAGGAATTTATTTCTTACTAATTTTTAGATATTTCCGAAGCAATTCCCATTGCTCTTTCAAATTATTTTTGTTAATAATAATAATTTAGTTTTAAAAATAATTTTCTGGTAGTATATTAATGTAATGTTTAATTTTTGATTTGTAAAATAAAAAATCATTTAATAATTTTAAAGAATTTTTTTTCCTAAATAATTTATTACGGTTTTTAATTGATGTGACTATTCTTTTGGTAATTCAAGGATTTAAAAATTTGTTTAAACAAGTAGTTTCAGAGTGGTCATCGCGATTCAATAATAAACAATTTTCGAAAAACTTACTATACTGTACTTTTCTATCATCTTCATCAATCGTTTTTTGCCAAAAATTGTTGTGAGAGAAACCGCTCTGCATTATCTCAAGTAATTTTTCATGGTTTAGCATCAATTTGCTATTATATGAAAAATTGCCGTGGAATGATTGCGATACGTCTATTTTAAAATTACGACTGATTTTTTTTTGAAAATTTATAAAATTTCTGTTTGGTGTGTCTTTAATTTATAACGGTTTTTAATATATTAACATCCGTTTCCGGTAGACAGAATATTATAAAATTATAGATAAAAATTGATAATCTATTTATTTTGTCCGTTAATTTAAAAAATGGTTTTTTTCAAAATTAATTATGAGTGGTTCTTATTCGGTAATATACATTTTTTCGAAAAGCTATTTTTCTTTTTCTTTTACTAGTTATTTTTTTTCGAGTTTTAAGCTTACCAAAGTTTTGAACATCGGGTTCTCAACATTCCACAACAAAGAAATGTCGATTCAATTTTTTCAACATCTCAATATCAAATTTAGTTTTCAACATCTCAATTCCAAATCAGTGAAATGTCAAATTTAATTTTTTAATAACGAAATATCAAATACAATTTTCAATAGCGAAATGTCGTGGACTAAATTTCTATTTTTATTTTGTATAATTTTTAATTAGTTTTTGTTAAATGTTTCTGGTACTATTTTATATTTAAAAGAAAGAGAAAAAATAGTTTAAAAATTATTGTTAAAGTTGTGACAAATATCAACTGCGTCAGAACAAACATTATTATACTACTTGTACTATAATATATCAAAATCGTGATCTTGACAATAATTCATAATTCTTGAATATTCGTTTTAAAAAGCGTGGCAATATCAATGGTAATATTGTACAAGACGATTCCGTTGGTAGCACTAGCGATTAGCTAGAACAGCTGATTTGTTCAGAAGATTTGGAATTGTATCGACCGATTCTCAACTAGACTATCATTAATGAGTTTAATTGTGGTAGGTACATATTGTGTTTTTACGTTCGGTTAAGTTATCCGGACTTAATATTATTTCCTACTGCATACGTATGTACTGTTTGTCGTGAACAACACAAACAGTCAACGTTTCATTTGTTTTTTTAATTATTAACTTTTGTTTTGTTTTTCGTTTTTAATTCAGGATTATATTATTATATATTTTTATCGTTTTACAATACCTACCCAATATTGTACCAGAGTAATCAATTCGCGTGCAGATATACGTTGTATTTGTAAAACAAGTAATTGATAACGCGATCGAATCCCTGTTCTACGTTAATTTTTTTTAATACCGGTCTTCCTTGTTATATACGGCATGTCCAATTCCAATGGATCATTTTTCAGTTTCCTGAGTAACTGGAAATTTGGTTTTTCCGTCTCCGTCCCGTGTTTCGTGGTGGGCCTGTGCGTTACTTTTTGCAATTTTTTCAAAATGTCCGGTGATAATATACTTCTCGACAAACCGACTGTGAACGCAAGTATTGCTGAAGAAGCTAACGTTCAAAACCCGCCAGAAACTAACGGAATCGATCAGACAGCCTTCAAAACAAAGGTTAGTATCCACAATTCTTTTTTTTTTAGAAAATCTAGATTAGTTAAACATAGTGAACACGATTCTCATATAATAGTATATTTTAAAATATACATTATAAATTCCTACCTAGTATATTGTTGGTTTTTTTTTTTTTCACAGACACTAGTAGAAGAGATTGAAGATTTAAAAAAACTTGGAAACGCAGAATTTTCAAAAAGAAATTATGATATGGCCATAACATATTATACACAAGCTATATTAATGTGCCCAGAAGCAGAGCAAGCAGCTTTGTCCGTTTTGTTTCAAAATCGAGCTGCCGCTCATAGTAAATTGGTAGGTAAATAAAAATAATTACTTTAATCAATTTTGTTATACCAAAACTAGGTGTTTTTTTTTTCAAATATTAGATGTAACAATGGTATTATTTGCTTATATTATATTTTCAGAATAATAATGAAAATTGCTTAGCTGATTGTAACAATGCCCTGGCATTAGTACCACATTACAAAAAAGCGTTATCTCAAAGAGCAAGAGTACTTTCAGAATTAGGCAACTTTAAACTCGCTTTAGAAGATATTACAGCTGTGGCTATTTTTGATAAGTTTGAAAATCAAGATGATATAATATTTTCGAATAATCTGCTCAAAAGTTTAGGTGAGGTTATTTATTCTTTTCACTAATACAGAATTAAAAAATGTTTTTATAATAAAGACTAGTTCTAAAAAAAAATGTCATGATAACTATTAATTTCTTCAAATATTTGAAATTTTAATTATACCATTATACCATAAGTTAAAATTAATTTTCAGGCGAGCAAAATATGGAAGAATACACAAAGCACAATGCTTTCAATTTACCATCAAAATCATTGATTAATCAATTTTTGAAATCATTCTGTGACGATCCATTTTCTGATGAATTTGCACTGACATTATTAAAATCAGACATAAAGTAAGTAGTGTTTAATATTAATCATAATATGCTTTTATCATCATTAAAAAATCAATAAATAGTTATTATAACATATGATAAATATATAATACAATGTAAGTATTAATTAATTTAGTACAGGTTTGGAGTATGCATTAAAATGTATTCAGAATCAAAAGTTTGAAGAAATCGAAAAAGCGTGTCAAAATGAATTAAATAAAACTGATAATAGTTTAATTCGTAAAAGTTTTGCATTAAACTTATTAGCTACTTTTTATTTACTCCGCGGAAATTATGCTGCTGGTATTGAACATCTTACTACTGTCATCGAAAATCCAAAAGTTCCAAAGGAGGTATAATAATAAAGTGTATATTGGTATTAGTAATTAAGATAATTAAAAAACATAGTATTATCTATACAAATTATGGGTGGGTAATTTCAACACAAAAGACATAACAACTATGGTAGATAACATGTCACTTAAAGTGTAAAATTGATAAAATACTTATACTGACTTATTCAGATGTTTGATACCTTATTTTAACATTAGAATCCATGATAAATATAGTTATATGTATTACTTAGTTTTCTTATTCTATTCAGTTACTTCAATTGGTCAGACTGAGCAAATTGTCTGAGAAAAAAAATAAAATTAAAAGTGGTACTTCAAAAAAAATAGTTTAAAATCTACATAACTAGTTAAGTATGATGTTTGTGAATGAGTATGTAGGTACATATATATTTTTATTGTTTTTCGCCTATTCTTGTTTTTTTTACTAGTTTGTTTTCTTAAATAGCAATTAGTACATTATTTATAATTTTTAATTTTTTTTTTTTTAATATAGACGGGAAAAACTAATACAATTTTTTATTAGGAAATTTTCAACATATTTAAATTTCCAATTAATTTAAAAGTTTGATTACACATGGTTAAATATTGTTAACTTTATTTTATTTTTTTGAAAATTTAATTGATTAAGTTAAATTGTTGATAGTTGAAAATAAATACCTTAATAAAACGAGCATTCGGATATCACCTACAAGAAGAAGTTGACAAATGTTTTCAGGATTTCAACCGTGCTGAAGCTATTGATCCCAACAGTCCTGCAATATATCACCACAGAGCTCAAGTATTACATATAGCATTAGTAAACATTTTCAGAAAATCATACTATGGTAACAAAAATCATTAATTTTTTTTAGATTTATTTAGAAGGAATGAACACCAATGAAGCAGTTAAAGATCTCAAGAAATCTTTGGAATTAAATCCTAATTTTGCTTTGTCTATTATTTATTATAATTTTGCTCAATACTGTCATGCCAAAAAAGTATCAAATAAATTATATGTTGAACATTTCTTGGTAGAATTGGGAGATTTTGTGGTGAATTATCCAGATATTTCTGAAAGTTTTGCACTTTACACCCAGGTAGAAAAATATATTATAAAATGGTGTAGTTTTTAAAATTAAAAATGTATTAATTTATGTTTATATATAGGTTTTGTTGGAAACTGGAGCTTATGAAGAAGCAGATTTAGTGCTTAAAAAAGCATTTGAAGTTCATCCAGACAAAGCCGATTTCCTAGTAAATAGAGGTAATCTTGTGTTCTTTGAGTGTAAAACTCTCAGTTTTAGGATATATAGCATAGCACTACCTATAAAACATGGACATAACAGGAAATTTTAAATTTGCTGTGGATATTAATGGAAACTCGGAAAAATATGAAAAAAAAAACTGATATTTAGTCTAAAATTTTTTTCCACACAGTATCTACCAAATAAAAATTACATATATAATTCATAAAATTTAAATATCTATAAATGGCTCAAAATTCAAAATGTTTTATCACTGATGGAAAAAACAAACATAAGTTTAATCAAAAAACAACTTCTGTTTTTACCAATTAGTTTCATAGATTCAAAATACCACAAAAAATAATTGTAATGCTGTATTAGTTGTCATTATTTGTCTTTTCGGGTTTTCCCAATTATTTTGAAAATCTCTAGGAAAATCAAAATTTGACCTTTCTAATGAAACCAACTAGATAAAATTTCCTTTTAGAAACACTTGATACATTGAAGCAAGGTTTCTTTTTGAAAAGTGGTTTACAGACCGAAAAAAACACATAATAAAATTATTAGATTCCTTGCTTAACTTCAAATCTAAAATGCTGAAAAAAATGTTAATAGTACCAATCATGATTGAAGATATTGTATAATTTTATTAATTTAAAAAAAAAACCATAGACATTTATGACTAGAGTAAAGTTACAGGGATAGATCTAGTAGAGTAAATATGTCAATGCCAAATAATCAATTTTTTTTTAAACTACTCAAACTAGTAAGTTTTTAAGTTTTTACTAAATAATTATTAAAGTAGTTTGACTAATTATCATGTTGTTTACTTTCATGTACTTGTATTGTTCAATTGTTTTGCTAGTAATATTTAACTTAAACAAACTTCTATTTACTACTAAAACAAGTATCGACAACTATAGATTAGTCAGGAAAAAACCTAAAAAAATTGTTTTTTAATATGGATATAATATTATTTATGTATTACTTTATAGTAAATATACTGGAAAATTGAGGGATTTTGAAAATTTAACATCTGTAACAACCCTGATTGCACATTTCTATATGAAATCAACTAGCTTACTATAAATAAATTGTTTTTTTTTTCAGCATTGATCGCAGCAACATGGAAAACTAATGGTAAACTTGATGCATTTAAACTCCTTGAACAAGCATTAAACATTGATCCGAAATGTAATATTGCTTATGAAACACTTGGAGAACTTTTCATGCAAGTGTAAGATATTAAAAACAAATCTATACAATATTTTTAAATGATTATTTTATTTTAATACCATTCTCTTAAGATATTTTTGAATTTTGAATTGAAAATATTTTAATAATGATATTACAATTAAAACAAAACATTGTAACTAAATTATTTGATTTATTTTTATTAACCAGATTTTGACAAGACTGGAAAAAAAAAAAGAGTAAATGTATTAATTTCTTCCACAATGCCTTTTTTTTTTTTTTTTTGCTTAACAAGGCTGGGTTGATAAAGCAATTTAATATTAATTAAATAGTTTTTAATTAATATGTATGAATAACTATGTATAAGATTATTTTTATTAGCTTCATTAAATTATTTTTATATATTATTTGTACTTGTGTATTTCAGTGGACAACAAAAGGATGCTATTGATTGTTTGGAAAAAGCTATACCTCTGCCTAAACCAAGAAAACAACTGTTAAACACATTTTCGTTAAGGAATTCAGCACAGACCCAATTAGCAATAGTTGAACGTTTTGGAATAAAGACGCCTAAATTTTATTCGTTTTCAGAAAAACAATGAAAAAAATAAAGAAAACATTTATCTCTATAGTGGACAAGATTATACTAGTTTTATCATTTTTTAACTTGCTAGTTTTTAATTTGTTAAAAAGTATTGTAATTTTTTTCATAGATGTATATTGTTTACAACATACTGTTTGATAATTATTCTATTTACTCTAAATATTTAGTTCTATTGGAGATTTTTTTTATTGAATGTGATCTCTAATTAGTGACATGAGTGCATTAAAACTATTATAACCCCTTTGAGTATTGTTAAAAAAAATATTTGTATTATTTATTTATTTATTAATGCCAGACATTTTTTTTTTTTTGTAGACAACCATAATATCTACTATAATTTATTAAATTTATAGTGTAATAGCTTAAATACAATTAAAATAAAATAAAAGTCTTTTAAACTAGAATGTGTTATAATAATATTTGAAGTTTTATAACAAAACAAAATATTTTAATGTATATTGATAGTTTTTTTAGTAAATAAAACCAATGAGTTTCTTATTACTCATAAAAATATTGATTAAAATGTTCTAAAAATAAAAAAATATAAGTCATTTTTTCGACAACCTCTACATATGGTTGATACTAGAGATGAGAGTTATTCGAATAATTATTCATTACTACACTGAATACACTGAATTATGAGAATAATTTTTTTTCATTCAAATAATATTTATTATCATGACTAAATATATTATACTATTATAAAACATTTAGCCATGTTTATTATTTAATTTACAAAATTCTACTATCTACACAAAGATTATTAGAATAATTTATTAAAATATGAAGAACAAAAACAAATAATTTATTTGACATAAAACAACAAAAACATTATTAACATTATTATAATTTCCACGAATTTGTAATAAATTGGTATACCAATATTAATCTAATCGGCTAATTATACTAAAAATGAATAAAGTGTAAACGTATAGTAGTGGTGGTATGTTGCAGTCGTATGGGCTGTAATAAGCTTTATCATTTATCATCTGCACCGTCGAATTTAAATTTAATTACTGGGATTACTAGAATTACAAAACAGAATTTATTTATAGTTGTGATTTTTGTGAAACGTATACCTACTGTGCAGATAAACTATTTATAGAAATGACCTAATGAACGCATTCATTTTTTCAAAGAACGTGTACGTAAACGAATTCATTTTTTTTAGTGGACATTCCGAACATTGGTTTATGTACATTATACAATAATAGTATTTTTCATCGGCCAATTTCAGTCAATATATAGAGTATCCTACGAAGATATAGGTATATCTGATATACTATATAAGATATATCTGGAGGTTAATAATAAAGATAATCAAATTTTGTTTTTTTTTTCATATTACTTACAAGAGTGAGGACTAAAAGTATTTATATTTTAATTAATTTTTTATGTTTCGGTAAAATATTTTGAAAAATGTTTTTTATTATATTATTTTTAAAAAATATGAAGATAGCCAGAGTTTATTTTTCTGAAAATTTTTATGCATTAACTTTATATTTTCATTAAGTTCGTTATTTTTTAATAATTTGTCAAAGTTCGGAGAAAAGAAGTGCACACTCAATTAATCGTAATAATAATAATAATTAATTAGAAAATATGATTTCAGTATGCTGCATAATTATAGGTACTTTTTTCTGAACTTTAAAAAATTATAAAAAATCACGATTTTAATGAAAATAAAAAGTTGATACATCAAAATGTTCAAAAAAAAAAAAACTCTACAAAATGGCTGTCTACAAATGTTTCAAAAATAATAAAATAAAAAGTCATTTTTTTTCATTTTTTCATCAAAGCATAACAAATTAATAGTAATATAAATATTTTTAGTCCTCACCCCTGTGAGTAATATAAAAAAAAAACAAAATTTGATTATCTTTATAATTAACCTCCAGATATATTACAATGGATATATTACTATATTTTCGTAGGATATCTATATATTGACTGAAATGGGCCGATGTCCGAAAATCCCGATGTCCCAGTGGGCCTATTCACTCCTGAGAAATATTATGAGTATACTAAAGAATTGTATATGAGATCTTCATTGACTACAAACAAGTTTATGATAGTATAATACAAGAAAAAAACGGACATACTTCGCACGTAGGCTACTGTAGGTGAAAAATTGGAAAGATAGAGGGGAAATTGTATGTATATCTATACGAAACGATTAACTATTACTAATGAAAAACAATTCTGAGTAAAGTTCGGTTAATAATGTTGCTTTGTCAACAATATGTCACATTATGGTAAAATAATTACATATGTCATATAGATATTCTTTAATAATATTTGTTTAGTATTGTATATATTTTCCCGTATTTTCCCATTTATTGGGAATAAACCCCTTGAACACCTTGTTAACATTGAAAAAACGAAATACAGGATGATGACAAGACAAATAGGAAATTTACTCACTCTGCAAAGGCAACAATAGAATATAACAGATACGAGAATATAACTATCTAGAGGTAACATAAGACAGGCAAAATTCCATACATGGCAAAATAAATTTAAGACAATCCGTGGCAAACAGATGCTACTTTGCTCTAGCAAACCCTTTTTAGTCAAAATTTATATTAAAAAACACAAAAGAACAATAAAAGCCCGAATTTTATATGACTTTGAATAAAGCTAGAAAAACCCGTATTTTTAAAAAAAAGAGCTTATACTGGGGACGGGTGCTGTCACTGTTGTAGGTGGAAAGTTAAAAAGGTAGGGTACATAAAGTTATTGGATATATATTTGTAAGCAACGATAAATCATTGGTAATGAAAAACGATTCGGAGATTTTTGGTAGAAATTAATATTTGTAACCTAATGTAACTTACTTTTTGATTGATTCTCGTACATATTTTGAAATTATTCAATTAGCTATGATGAATTTGGTCACGAAAATCGAGCTTTAATTTTACTTATATGTATATACAGTAACGTTAAAATTCTATCAACTCTAAAAAAAAAAAAATTAATTTTTCAAAAAATTTCGTAATAATAATACTTTTTTTCTCTCACGACGTCTTCAATTTTGTCTAGTTATTATAATTATACGACATTAATTAAAACTTGCTGTGTTAAACTTGTATAATATTAAAATGCGAATAATAACTATAATAGTTATCAAATGACAAATACATCAAAAACGGTAATTTTGTAAAAATATGACATGTAGACACAATAACAAATACGACGTGTAAACTAAATTGCCTGTATTTTAATCCTTATAATAAATGGTTATGTGCAATACTGTAATTATATCCGCGAAACTAATTTTCTATCTCTCTATCTAAATTATTTCAGTTCTCTGAATGGTTTAAAGCTTTAATGGATCCGTTTTTGTCATTCACTTTTCTTTTCACTTTTTCGTCTCGAGTACATATATATCGAGAAAGAAAACCAATGTAAAAAAGACGTCCTAAGATAATTGGGACGGGTGCAACCACTGTTATAGGTAATTTAATGTACATCTGGAAGCAACGATAAACCATTGCTAACGAAAATACGATTCAGAGGGTAGTTTCAGTTCATAGTGATGCTTTGTCAACAATATATATGTAATATTATAGTAAAATAATTAAATGGATTTTATATATTGCTTTTATAATATTTTTTTTAATGGTGCATCGATTTTTTCGGTTTTCCTACGTTTTTCACGTTTTTTCCATGTTTTTCACATTTGCTTGGAAAACTCCTGAGAAAATCGAAAAATTACTTCTTTAAAGTACCTCCCAAGTTAGATTTCCTTTTACAAAGATTACTATCATTATAAATTAGAACAAAATTGCTGGTAGAAAAGTTGTTCATAGGAAAAAGAAGGCCATAATATATTTTAACTATACCTACATTTCTAATATTTTACCGTATTTCCTACGATTTATTTTTGGTTTTTCGAATTTGATGAGTTGTCTACAGAAAAAAAAATCGTAATATTTTGTAAAACCATAAGCTTCTTCGCTCCACTCAGAATCTAAAAAGCTGCCCTAGGTTAATAGAGATGATGCAGTTACTTTTGTGGGTTGGTAGTGGGGAATGTAGGATACATAAAGTTATTTAATTTATACCTGTAGTCAACCATTATAATGAATAACGATTCGGAGCGGAGTTCAGTTATATAAGTATGGAAAGGCCGTAATAATTACGTTTTTCGTTAAAATTCGATTTTACAAATTATAAAATAAAAAAATAATACTACATTACACTCGATTTTTTTTTTTTTTTTTTGAAACAAAATTCATTTGTTTCTTGCCTGTTATCTACTCGAAGATATCGGGCTTAAACTTGCAACCCCTGAGATGTCATCAAATATATACCACCACTTGACTACGACATACATTCTATGAAATCGAAAATATTGAGTTATTTAATATAACACATATAACATCAGCATAATATTAGAACTTCAAAAAGCTATGATTTCGAAACTAAGTCAGTTTGCTTAATTCTGACTTCGCAATCGTTTTAAATCGACAATAGTTATACATATGACTAAAACAAAAAAAAAAAACAAAATTGAAAATTTGCATGGATCAGCAACTAGATTTGTTTTACACAATTTTTACTTAAACGATTTATGTCAAATTTTGATTTTGGAATTCATTTATAAAAAAAAATACTACATAAAGCTCATTTTTTTTTACCTCAAATTATGACCATTAAGGAACCTTCTATTAAATTTTCAAGTATTTCTGTTTTGTGTAACAATTTTATCCTCAATTTTAACTACCAAATAAAAATTACGTACAAAACTTGCAAAATTAAAATATTGATATAATTTGGTCAACAATGGATCAAATATTTTGAACATTTTACCATTTCTAGAGAAAACAAATATAAGTTTTTGATAAAATGTCGTCTTTATGAATATATTAAACTAAATTACATTAAAAAACCAAATTGAAAGTAATAAAAGAATTATTTTCATAAGTTTTCCAATTTTTTCGGTGTATATTTTTGGTTTTACTAAATTGTTAAAAAAACGAAACTTGCTCACGAAGAAGATTAAAAATTCAACAAAAAAGGTCTATTGTTATTTTGCTATTGAAGCAATATAATGGTAAAAGAACAGAAGTCGTAAAAATTGTATACAATGAAATTGTTATGCTGTAATTTGAAAAAAATTAATACTGTCGTATTTTTTGATTTTCCTAAATTATTATAAAAAATACTTCAGGAATCAAAAAACAACTTTCATTGACAATGGCTATTTATTAAATGGAACAAAATATCGATTAATAATAAAAGCATGATTGTAAAACCAATACATTCCTCGCTTATCTCAGAACTGTATAAAATAAAAACACCTAATAAAATCAATAGATCCCTCGCTACGCTCAAAATCTTAAAAGAGAATTAAACGATTTAATTTAGAACGCAATCCATCTCTTCTGCTTTTGATTAATAGTATATTATTGGTATTCTATGATTGTAAAATATAAAATATCGTATTTTTTTTTATTTTTGATGATTGTACCTATAATAATATAGTTATTGTCACTATACTGGTATTGTTATATTTGTTGGAATACCCCTTTAAATTATATGCAGTGCGTATTTTATAGAATTATGAGACTAATAAAATATAATCTGTACACCGACAAATATAAACATCGACTTTTTGTATGTATCGCACAAAGTATCAAGTATCTGGCTTGTATATGTTTACACGAGTATATTACATTTTCCATATTGAAAACGATGTGTTTTATCACTTTATACAAACAAAATAAAATCAAATTATGGTAAACTTACCGACGAACCTAATATTGTTAGATTATTTTATACGGTCTCGTGTGTGTATAACGTATTCGTACTTGATGTAATCGATTTAACAGTTTATTTCACTTAAAACGTACCTATAAATAATCGTATTTACATTTATATGAAAGCCTGTTCTATTTAATTTAATTTTATTATTTGTCCTCCAAAGTATTCGTTTCCAGTTGCAGGATTTATAATTACAATGTAGTCGATCATACAATGCATTATGTTACCTACAGGTTACAATGTTTTGAATTGTCAATAGAACATTATTTAAAAAAAAAATTATGATCACGAGTGCATGATGTTGCCTACCGGTAACAATGTAAAAAATGACTTTTATCTAAATAGAATTTTAAAAAAAAAATAATTTTATTTTTATTTTTCCTGTAAATAAAGGCATGGACAAAAAAAAAAATTTAAAAATAAAATGTCATGCATTTGGGTTAATAAGAGGACGTAATATACGCGCATTTACTATTTCAGCCCGATAAATTAATTTTCAACTCAAAGTATATGTTATTGGAAATGTTGACAATCAGGAAATTATATCATTGCCAGGAAAATGTTATAATTTCCTAACAATAGCATAAAATGATATATTATATTCACAGTGAAATTGCATATTAATTTTATATTTAAATAAATAGTTTACATTTATATTTTTCAAGTAATTTGAAAATACTCAGACAAACAAGGCTATACTGTATTAGACTGGTACTTTTTTTTAGTAAAAAATTACATTACTCATAGTATTATTTGTATAGCTTATAATTTGAGATTCTGAATGAAGCGAAAAAGCTTTTTATTTTATAAAGATGTTTACTTTTTTTTTCTGTGGACAACTTTTCCATCAGCAATTTTGCCCCGATGTACAATGATAGCATTTTTTCTAAAGGGAAATCCGACTGTGGAGGTATTTCAAAGATAATTATTTATTTTCTCAGGATTTTTCTCAACAAATATGAATAACCAATGAAGGACGGAGAAAAAACCGGAAAATGTACGAAATATATTAGTAAAATATTGCCTATATATTAGTGAAATATTACCCGATAACATCGCCTAATAAATTACAGAAATGTCGTCAAAAGTCAACTAATATATTGTTTCCTAAGGTATTTAGGCATTGTCATCATTACTGGTAAGGCTGTAATATACAAGCTGTCCAACAAAGATATACCCTATGAATATCTCCGGAGAAAATAAAGATAATCAAATTCTGTTTCTTTTTATATTACTCACAGGGATAAGGACTAGAAATATTTATATTTGAACTTGATTTTTTTTTTTTGTAAACAAATTTAAAAAATAACCTTTTATTTTATTATCTCCGAAGATATTCAAGGGGTACATGATATATCTTCGTGAGGCAGTCGGTATATAATATATCTTACCTATCTACTTTAGGATGATTTAACACAGTGGTGTCTATCTAACCTTTTGTGATTTCTGGGCTACATCATGTAAGTAGAAGTTGATGTGGGTAACTTACGTTTTATTTATAATTTTTACAATAGTGAATAATATTTTGACGGGCTATTACATTTTATTTATAATTACAAGAAAAAAATATATATATTTAGTGTTAATCAAATGCAATTATAATACAAATGTTCAGCAATTTAATCATCACAAATCTTCAGTTTCTGTATTTTTTCCAAATAAATGACCAATTTCACCAAAATATAGATAACAAAAAAATTTGACAATAAATACAGCTAAGGAATCTTAGGAGCTTAAGGGATTTAAAGCAGGCAGTCTCAATGTGAAGGTGAGAAGATAGGTTTTTGTGTTACATATTAAATCACATATTACATGAAATACCGAAATTAAATACAAAGTTAATAATAATAATTTGTTTCAGAAATACAGGTTATACAATTGAGTTCAAATAATATACTATCTGACCCAACCAATAAGTATACTTGTTTTAGGTTGAGTGAGTCTTAGTAATACAAAATAGTAGGTAATAAAAAAAAAAAATATCAAATGTTTTGAAGATAAATACAAATTAATAATAGGCCAATAAAACAATATGATAATGCATTTTAAATAAGAGTTTATTAAAACTAAATACTAAAGACTAATAAATATTGGACAAACAAAATGTTTAATGTACATTCTAAATTTAATTAATGTTAAAAATGAATCGATATTAATATTCACAGTACTAAGTTTTTCAAGATTATTAACATAAAAAAAAAAAAAAATTATAAATAAAATCTTTGTAAAACCATACATTTTCTTCCCTCCATTCAGAATCTAAACATGTATAAATTGCACTGGTGGGAGTGAGATATGATTTTTTTAAGATATATTTTATTAAAGAGTTATCAGTAGAGTTTAATGAAATTAGATTAGTTTTGAAAGTACCATCCCATAAACTTATACCATAAGAAATAATATAATTTAGTAAGGAATAATAAGCAATTCTTAAAACTTTAGAATCTAATAATAGTGTTTTAAATATATTAAACATTCTCTTACTTAGTTGGATAAATGTTCAATTTCCAATTATTTCCAATTAAATTTAATGTTAAACACCAAGCCTAAGAATTTTATTTTTTTCTCAATAGTTTTCTCAATTCAACACAATTAAAATCAATCATTTGTTCACAACTAACACTATGAAAAAATAATTGTAATTTGTATTGCAATTAATATGATTATTATAAATGTTATATTTTAGAAAATTAGACTCGTTTAAGTTTATTGTTATGCAATTATTATTAAACTATACGCCTTTATTAATTTAATTAATGTAATAGCTAATTAGAATAACAGTTCATCTGATTTTTATTTTAATAACACTAAAGTGTCATCTACAAAACAAATTATGTTTAATCTTATATTTAAACTTAAGAATCCATTAATATAAAATATAAATAGTAATGGCCCTAAAAGAGTTCCTGAGGTATAGAATGAGAAAAAATCAGTGGCTTACTATGTACATTATTTAACTATTTGAGTTCTGTTGTTAAGATACGATTTGAAAAAATCTTTTGCTAATCCTCTTATTCCAGCATTCTCAAGTTTCTTTAATAGTTAACTGTATTAAAGCCTTTTTTGATGTCTAGGAAATATCCAATAATTTTATTATTGTAATCTAATGACTTGAATATAATTATTTACTATAAAATGAGCATCTTTGGTTGATTCACTTGTGATAAATCCATATTGATTATTTGAAAAGAAATGATTGATATGAATTCTATTAATTAATAATAATAACATGAAAATATTTAAATTATATACATAAAAATGTATATTATTGAATTATAATACTTAAAAGCAAAGTTTAAACTTAGTTAGTGTTGTTGATTCTTCTAACTTCATTTCTACGATATAGTTCATCTATGTATGATTTAAATATAAATATCATAGAAAATTATCTAATTATAATATTAAAAAAAAAGTATATTATTGAATTATAGTACTTAAAANGAAAATGATCTAATTATAATATATAAAAAAAAAAATGTATATTATTGAATTATAATACTTAAAAGCAAAGTTTAAACTTAGTCAGTTTTGTCCATTTTCCTAACTTCATATCTAGGATATAGTTCATATATGTATGATTTAAATATAAATATCATAGAAAATTATCTAATTATAATATTAATAAAAAAGTATATTATTGAATTATAGTACTTAAAAGCAAAGTTTAAACTTAGTCAGTTTTGTCCATTTTCCTAACTTCATATCTATGATATAGTTCATATATGTATGATTTAAATATATCATAGAAGATAATCTAATTATAATATAAAAAAAAATATGTACATTATTGAATTATAATACTTAAAAGCAAAGTTTAAACTTAGTCAGTTTTGTCGATTTTCCTAACTTCATATCTAGGATATAGTTCATCTATGTATGATTTAAATATAAATATCATAGAAAATGATCTAATTATAATATAAAAAAAAAAATGTACATTATTGAATTATAGTACTTAAAAGCAAAGTTTAAACTTAATCAGTTTTGTTGACTTTTCTAACTTCATATCTAGGATATAGTTCATCTATGTACGATTTAAATATAAATATCATAGAAAATTATCTAATTATAATATATAAAAAAAATGTATATTATTGAATTATAGTACTTAAAAGCAAAGTTTAAACTTAGTCAGTTTTGTCCATTTTGCTAACTTCATATCTACGATATAGTTCATTTATGTATGACTGCCTGATAATTCCTGGAGGTCTATAAAAGTGTATACAATATAATTTCATCATCTTGTATGTTTATAATGGTACAATTTATCTTTTACCTAGCGGCTGCAAATTCTTGCAAGGCATTATTTACAGTATAATGTAATACTTCTATCAACCAAGCGACTATTAAGAATCCAGTCCGGTTATGACCATGGGTACAATGAACACCTAGAAAAAATAAAGTATCAACAACTTATGATTTGTTAACTGGCAGTTGTTTCTTTTAATAATCAAACTACATATTAAATTACTTATGTATCCCGTCCACCAAGATATTTTTTCAAAAATTAAAAATAAATATAACTTACCAATGTATAGGTTAGGGTTGCTATTAACAAAATCCCAACAAATATCCAAAAATGATNACCTAAAATGATTTGGTTTATTTACTAAATATAATATTATGTTATAGAAATATCTGAACACAAATTTTAGTATAGTAACCCTAATAACTTTAATAAATATGATATAGACTGTACATCATTACACCATTGGGATAATTTTCATAACTCTCAATATTTTTACAATTTAAAAATACAGGAATCTAAAGATAATATAATCAAAGAAATATTAGAAGTATTTATATGTTGTAACTACAACCATTAAGTAATACAAATAAAATATTTTTTGTCTATTCATACAATATTTAACATGAATCTAGTTAAATCACCTAAGCAATTATGCATATTTTTAGAATTTATAGGGTTCATTTTGATTTTAATAAATATTTTAGTTTATATTTATGTTATCTATATTTTAGTACATTGTTCTTGTGATTTTCATTTGGTTGCCTTCTCTAAATTATTATTAAAAATAAAACAAATTAAATTTCTTAATCTATATGGGAGTGATTCACAGACTTTGTATTATTTTAATAATATATGTCCAAAGTAGTTTAATTTTATTTGGACTTATTTATTTTACTTCTTTCAGTTTTAACACCTAATTAAGTTAGATCACTAGTCTGTCTCACATTAGTATAATTGTTTTTTCATTTTTACCCTTTTGTAGGAGCCTAACCAAAAACTATGGGCATGAGGTAGTTATAAAGTTATACAAGATCAATGAATCAGTTTACAAATAAATTATAACTGAATTTCTTTGATAACAAATATATTTGTTCCCATTATTTTTTTAATAAAATATAAATAAATGTATTAATATTATTCTGTGATACCTTTATTTCAGCCATTGACAAGAAGAGCATATCTNATCTGAAGATAATATAACCAAAGAAATATTTGAAGTATTTATGTGTTGAAACTACACCCATTAAGTAATAAAAATAAAATATTTGTTGTCTGTTCATGAGATATTTATCATGAATCTAGATTAAATCACCTAAGCAATTTCGAATATTTTTAGAATTCATAACATTCATTTTGATTTTAATAAATATTTTAGTGTATATTTATATCTTAGTACATTGCTCTTGTGATTTTCTTCTGGTTGCCTTTTCCTCTAAATTATTATCAAAAATAAAACAAATTATATTTCTGAATCAATGTGGGAGTGATTCACAGACTTTGTATTATTTTAATATTATATGGGCAAAGTAGATTAATTTTATTTGGACTTATTTATTTGACTTGCTTCAGTTTTGACACCTAATTAGGTTAGATCACTAGTCTGTCTCACATTAGTATAGTTGTTTTTCCGTTCTTACCCTTGTGTAGGAGCCTAACCAAAAACTTTGGGCATGAGGTAGTTTTAAAGTTATACAAGATCAATGAATCAGTTTACAAATAAATTATAACTGAATTTCTTTGATAACAAATATATTTGTTCCCATTATTTTTTTAATAAAATATAAATAAATGTATTAATATTATTCTGTGATACCTTTATTTCAGCCATTGACAAGAAGAGCATATCTGTTTTGAATATATGTCTCATAGGTACTCTGTATTTACTATCCAATGGTGTTTTAAATGGCAAAAATATATTACATACTACTGAAGAATATGGAGTATAGCACGACCACTTGACAGGAATCTTGAGACGTTTTGAATCTGTAAATTATTTTTGATTAGTTTATGGAGAATTAAATATGTAAAATATTGTTTTTCTGTCATTTTAAATAAAACTTTTGAAACATATTTTATCTAAAGTAAATTGACTAAGTACCTAAAGTGATGACTTACTATTTGAAACTAAGTGTATTATTCTCTTTTATTAGGAATATAAATAATTGCAATTAACAACTAATAATAGATTTATAAACACTTTTTATTTATTACAAATAACATTATGTTACAGTTAATGAAAACTTATGGAGACTATTTATTTGATACACACGAGGGTTAGAATGACATGAAATTGAACTTGTGTGTGTATATTATCACCTTCACTTTCACTACTGTGAAGTTTACAAAAAAAATTAAAATTAATATTTTATTTTATTTTTTCATACAGGGTGATTCACTTAATTGGAAACACTTATTATCCCGGAAAGTATTATCATTTTTCAAATTTTCTTTTGAAAACTTAAGAATCTAATAGTTACATACAATTATTTTTTTGTACCCCTGAAATACTTCCATTACATCTCATCAATTATTCTCCAAATGATTTAATAACAACATTACTATTGTTTAGAGTCACATTTTTAATTTACCATATAATTCAACAGACATAATATTAAGCTCAGTAAAAGTATTAGGTGATTTTATTAAAGATTTAAAATCATGAATTACAATTTTTCCAATCCATGGTCTTTAAGTTTTACTCTCTTCACTAGTATTCATAATTTCAAACACATTTAAAGCTACATAATTCTCTGCACTATTAACATTTTCTATACAGCTAACTTGTTTTTTTTATCACTAACATCTTTTTTCTCTTTCTTACACATAATTTTTAAATAATTTAATAAATCACAATTACCACATATTTTCCATATGCTGGACACATGTTAATTTTATGATTTTTATCATAAGTGCAATTATTTACAATGTAATGACATTGTTTTTCTTATAATAACATTTTTTTTAAAAAAAGCATTATTATATATAACAATTTGTATAACCTGATTTAGCATTTGACTTCTGTATTGACTGACTATTTGAATTTGTTCCATATTTTGGCTTTTGACTTGTTTCAACATTGAACAATAAATTAGTATTGTCGCCTTGAATGACTTTTCTATTGTTTTTAGTTTTCTTTCGACCATACGAACGATTAAACACTCTTTTAAGTGGTAGGTCCTCTCTTAACAAACTAGTTTCTTCATCTTTGTTTGAAATACCTGGCATAATTTGAGTCTTCAACAATTCATCATCACATTGATCAGGACCACTTGTTTTGATCAATTGACCCAAATCTGTGTTACCACAAGGAGTACAATTATTTACAATATAATTACATTTTAAAAGAAGCATTATTATATTTAACAATTTGTATAACCTGACATAGAATTTGACTCCTGTGTAGACCGACCATTTGAATTTGTTCCATATTTTGGCTTTTGACTTGTTTCAACATTGAACAATAAATTAGTATTGTCGCCTTGAATGACTTTTCTGTTGTTCTCAGTTTGCTCTGCAGCACGGCATTCATTAACCACTCTTTCAAGTGAGAGGTCCTCCATTAACAAACTAGTTTGGACATCCTTGTTTGAAATACCAAGCACTATTTGAATCCTCAATAATTTTTCCTCAAATTGATCAAAACCACACGTTTTGATCAATTGTTTCAAATCCGTGTAGAAATTTTCAAAGGGTTCATCAGCACCTTGATTACGAGTAAAAAATAAGTAATGTTCCATAATTTCGTTTGTTCTGGAAATACAATAACTTTCCAGTGCATTTAGAATTTCACACACTGTTTCATTTTTCACTTTAAGTGCATTGTAGACTTTCAAACCATCTGATCCCAGCAAGTTTAATAGGATCGTTACTTGAGTCGCCTCTTTCGTCATGTGACATTCAGTTGCATCAAAAAAAATTTGGAGCTCTTGTTTAAATATTTTAAAGTTTTCAATTAAATTACCAGTCATTTTTAGAGGGGATGGTTTACTGAATTCCATGTTCTTAATTCTCTATCCAGTTTAATCTGTATTTATAATTCACGTTCTCTTGACTGCGCAATGTTATAAATTAAGTTTTACGTTATTATAAAAGAAACCTTTTAAATTATAATTTACATAATACAAAATAAAACACAAAACTTAAAAGAATATTAATTCACTATATGCAAGCACACTACTTTTTATTATTTTAATGATTGTTTTCTTAGCAGTTTATCATAATATTACTTTAGCGTAATCAACATTACAAAATAGGCAGTGTTATCACTGCAACAGAGAAGATGAGGTAACTTGTACATATTTATGGGGGACGTGTATAAAGTACGAAAATATTTCGTTAAAATGATATTGTACCAGAAAAGTAAAACTGTCCAAAAATTAATAATCGGAAAAATATATTATCAGAATAATATTAGGTACCTATGACAATATGGGGAGTAAAATACCAATACAGATGATAATTCTGTTATCTCATATCATCTGATGAACCGCTGAACATTGGTAAATACTATAGATTAGAATACGGTAAGCTCGTAGATTTTCTAGGGGACACTGTACCGCCTCATATTATACCACGTTGCTTATATAAGCTACTTAATTCTTTTTTTTTTAGACACTGATACTATAACACTGATATTATATTATAATATTATAGTGATATCCAAATACACAATACACTGATACATAATATTTACCTATACACAAATTAGGAACTGTAAATACTATAGATTGATCTAAAGTATTTGGTGTTTACTTTATTGCAAAAGCCAAAATAAATTATTATATTATCACTTGTTAGTTGTTTATGATAGTGAAAAATGAACTTTAGTTAATTAAATTTGTTTTTCTTTAGTAATTTGCTGTAGATATGTTTATTACTTCTACAAAAGAACAACTACCTAAAATTTTTTCTAATTTTTAAAGTCTATTAACGTCCATTAAAGTCCACACGTACTTAATATTATAGTATTGAAATATTATTATATAAATATTATATTATTGAAAATATTTTACCGGTAAATTCCACATCTCTAATATTTATTTTATATGGAACGCATGGGATGGTTCATATATTTTTATTTTTATCAAAATGCACTTTCATTAAAATTTGAAGTTTGAATGCTTATAAAATAAATTACTATAGTAAGATTAACTTTTTGTTATTTCTTCTCGAACATCGGTTTTATTTTATAACAAAAGTGACTATATTTAAATGAAATATACATGTAATTTATTTTGCAAATTCCAATGTGTTTTTAAGTGGATATAATAAATTGACATCTTAATACGATTTCATTTCTATATGTGAGAATTATCCTCGCTTTTGACAGCTAACTTATCTACACATTCTTAATGAATCAGTTTACTACATACCCATCCAGCTACATAGCCTATCGCACAAGCCTCATGATTCTCCATTAGTATATTTTCAATATTCATCGATTCATTAAAGACAAATGTAAGTTAAGAAAATCTCCTTTATCAGAATATTCATTATCATTTGGATCATCTATTACTTTTAACTGTATTTTAATTTTTTTTAGCTTACTGCATTTAGCCAATAATTGAACTGCGTCACATTCAGATTTTTAATTTCTAGTAAATAGTAAATAAATATAGCAAATAAATTGATATTAGATTACATGATTCTAATCACCCTTATTCTCAAAAAATATCATTTTTTAATTCAAAATTCTATAGGCTTGAACGTATTCCATTAAATAAACATAATTATCAACACGAGCTCAATATTATCTACAATATAGCTCATAGAAATAATTGCAATTTAAATACTATTAAAAAAATTCATAAACTTATTAAAGAAAAAATAATACACAACTCATCAAATAATGTTGTGAACTACTTAAGTATTGTAGTATGAAATATCAAAATAATATGTCTAACAAATTCGATAAAATTCTGAACAATAATACAAATAATGTAAAAATTACTTTTAAGACTAATTATAATTTAATCAAACATATAAATAACAGAACTATAAACTTCACAAAAAATTCCCCTTCTTTTGAAAATGCTGGTATATATAAACTTAAATGTGAATGTAATAAATTTTATATATGTGAGATAAATAGAAATTTTAAAATAAGATACAAAGAACACATTTCAGAAATAAAATTAAAAAAGACTGCTTCTAATTCAAATTTCACTAAACATGTTTTAGAAAATAACCATAATATAAGTTTTGATATTAATACAGACTAGAATAACATTTACGTTAATTCAGTTTTAGATTATATATACACACTGAAATAAAGAAAAATAATTTTAATAATATTTTAAATGTTCAAAACGATTTTAAAAATAATATATTATATCAATACATTTTAGATAATCAATAATAATAAAATAATTTATATTTCTTAAGATATCTATGTCTAATAATAACTAATTTTAAATAATCTCTCCTATTAAAATAAATTATTTATGTATTCTATGTAAAACGACCAATTTGTACATTTTTTTTCCATGCATTCCTTCATATAATTTTTTATATTCAGTTGCGTTTTACATTTTGATTGTGATATACCTAATGAATTTTTGATTCGAAACCGGTCGTATAATATATTGTCGTATAATGTTTTTGTTTACTACCCCGAGGAAGTTTTGTCAAAACCGATACTGTTAGTTTTTTTCATAATATTTCTATATTCATTAAATTAGCTTCTATCCAACTAAGCAGTATGACAATATTCTATAAATGAAACAAATAAGTATGTAGTGAAAAAATCGTGCGGTTAATTATTACACGATTTGGTGGCGAAAAGAAGGTAGGTGTACCATGTTACATTATCCGGTCCTAAGCTAATTCCAAAATAAAATTCTATGAACGAGGTTCGTAGCCGACTGTACACCACTAGTTTAGGGTATACTCGTTTGTCTAAAAAAACTGCTAAAATATCTTTAGCAATATTGCTTTATTTTCGGACTGTGATATTTTTATCCTATATGTATGGATCTTCAGATTTAAACATGTTTTATTATTTTTAATTTACACAAATAAATTTTTGAACAATTTTTTTTAAATCTGACACTTTATTTTTAATTCTTAACAAAAGGACAAATAATTAAAAACCAACGTATTATTTTTATTCATTTGTCAAAAACTATACAAGCATACTATGTTTTATACTTACCTTATTATTTATGTAGGTACATATTAATCATATTATAAAAATGAAGAAACAATAAGTACCAAGAGCCTATAAAATTGCTACTCCATTTTAGTTTAACAGGTATTCGTCCTGATCGAAAATTTTTTTTCTAGACTTTTAAATACTTGCTAATTTTAAGGAGTTAAACGACTCAAATTTCGATCCTATGGGTTTAAGTGGATATTCTACGTTTAGTTGGCACACCTCTTTTTTTTTTATTACTTATGCGAAAACTTGTCAACTATTGCTAATTACTTGCTTAATATTGACACTTTAGTTTAATCAATTTCTGTTAAGGTAGGTGGCTAACTTTACAGACATGGATAGAGATAGCTACGTAGGAGTGGTCATAAGACAGAATTATGGTCCTAGAAGCTGTAAAAACTCAAATAATAGTTACCTAAATTATAGGTGTACCTATTACTATACACACTTGGTCATTGTTTCTATATTAATAATAATTACAAAGTATTTAAATATCTACGCGACCATACTAGTTATAATTAATTAATCTGATATAATTTTAATTATTTTTTAAATTCATTAAACGATTTTATTGTGTTAAATACTATAGGAGATATTATAGTGTTATTTAAACTTTTTTAAACGTGCCCGAGAAACATCACAGATAGCAAAATATTAATCATAGTACTAATCCGGAAATATAGTTGTTACTATATATTTTGAACAGTGTAATAACCCATACCTGATAATAATCATAATATCTAAACATTGCACCTGGTGGCGGTATTGTCATAGGTGCAGTCATAATTTCATCTAAAAAGGGTCGGTCAGGTGTTAAAAAACGAAGTGGTGGTATACATTTAACAACGATATGCTGTAACGAAAATTTACGGTACTCAATCACCATCTGTTATAGACTTATTATAAAAAAAAAATAATAATTAAATTCATATTTACAAACAGCGCACGTGTAGATTATATAGGCACACCTAGGTACTTTTATACAATTTGTTCGGTGGTAATAAACATCGTTTTCGTTTTATTCGTTTGGTATATTTATTATTTTAATTTTACATAAAACATGTACAAAAATAGAAATATTTTATATCTTGTAAAATTACTTTTAATAAAGTATTTAAATTTGTATTCGAATAAAATGCGTATTCTAAATGTATTCTTGATAATTTCTGAGAACGAATTTGACGAACACCTAGTATTAAAATGATATAAAATTATGATTTTTTTTTCTTAGATTTTAAATTTGATGTTCCAATAATATTAATTATACATCATGTTGTGTATAGTTTGACGACTAATTATAATTTATTTTGAGCCAACTGAAATTCTAATTAAAATTAATATCATTATATTAATATATAAGCAGAGCCATTCCCAGAATTTTCGGGTTTAGAGACCAACGAATTCAAGGCCCCCTTCACAATTATCAAAATGTGATATGATATGACATAAACAAATGCTCATCAAGATTAGAAAAATGTTGGTAAATGTAGTTTTCCAAAACCTCAACCAATTAAAATCATTTAAATGCATGTAGGTACTGCATTACATTTTGAACCAATTCTTAGTAATGTAAAACCGCACACAAAAATGCAATTTATTATTCCTATAAATGGAAAATAGGAAACTGGAATTAAATAAAATAAGTAGGTAAATATTGAGTTAAATAAAAATGAAATGGAGTCCTAAATTGGGGCCTGGAACAAAATGGTCCCACTGTTTCCCTCGACCCTGAAAATATGATTACAAGTTATTATAATTAATTATCAATTATCATAATTCTATATACATGTATCATACATTTTTAGATTTTGAGTGGAGCGAGGAATGTATTGGTTTTACAGTGTTTATTTTTTCTTTTTTCTTTTATGTGACCACTTTTTCTACCAGAAAGCATACTTCGATTATCAAGTATAGTACCTTTTCTGAAAGGAAATGTTCTCTATGTGGTTCTTTAAAGAGATTATTTTTTGAAATTTTTATTAATATTCGAAATAATGAGCAAAAACTGGTTCTTTAGGGTAAAAAGATTGAAATATTAAAACTAAGGTTGTTATTGGCAACCATTTTTATTTATATTTTGTTATTATTATGTTTTTATTATTTAAAAATTTTTTTAAACAATCATTGTTTTCATGGAAATGCACATATTATTGTAATCATTTTACCATAATATGAGATATACATGTATTGTTCACAAAGCAACACTATCACCTCAGAATCATTTTTTCATTCTTTCCAACTCCCATCTACAAAAGTGGCTGCACCCACGTGCGAAGTGTGTCCGTCCTTTTTTATTCATTATTATCAATAGTTTTGTCGACTGTTGGGAAAACTTATAGTTTATACAGATATTTATTGAGAAAACATTGTATAAATATAAAATAAGGTAGCCGCTATTCGAATACCTTAAAACACTGATTTTAATCATTTGTTTCAACAATACGGCACGGTATAATGATATAAACTCAATTATTAAGTGTACATATACCTGTATTACAAAATATAATAAATTTATTATTATTGACTCAATGGTAATAATATTAGTATATAAACCAATTATCGAGACGTCAAAAACAGAACAAACGATTGTTAGGTAAAATAACGAAATATTATTTACTGTAGTACCTAAGTTCGCTAAAAATGTCTGGAAACTTTAAACTGTACAGTGTATATGCAGTGAAATACTTCAATAAATATAGGTATATCTACAGTTTTAGTGTACGTAGGTAGGTATCTACCATTTCATAAAATACACGAATACGTTCAACTTGTTGTGTACGCTATGGTAATAGCGAGAAAGAGTGATAATAAGAGTGAATATATAAGTGAACAATATTTACCCACTTAAAATACGAACCAGCGATTTTGTCGGAGGATTATAAATTAATTTTATTTCTGGTGTTTTGTTTTCGATAGGTTTAGAACTGTTGAAGCTTTACAATTTGTCACCGTTAGTTTTTATACTTCAAATGAGTAATCACTTTGGATTTTTCAAATTTTTTAAACCCAAAATTATACGGAGAATATTTTTCTTAAACATTAACACTAATATGTTTTATACTACACTTACCGTTTAGGAGTTATTAATTTATGTTTTAACGAGCGAGGCCCTTTCAACAAAATGTGTATAAAATTAAATAAAACATAATAAATAACGAAGAAAAATACATGACAAAGACAGTGTACATGATAAATAAATAAAAAAAGAGCGAGGAAAAATTGAAAAAGAAAGCGCGGCTCCACATTGGCGTTCGTCAACGTATTGGTTATATACTAGTTGCGGACGAATCGAATACGTCAATATTATAATATAACAATTTCGGACACAGGTATCATTATCAAAATACTAATTTCGGAATCAAGTTGGGTGAACCTAACGATGCGAGTTGCAGACACAAAAATTGGTAGGTGGGGTTAAAAATATCTATGTCTAACAAAAGAAAAATAATCTAAATAATTCTTAAATTGAATATGTTTTTTTTTATAAATATATTGTCATCATAGTTTTTGAGGTAAAATTTTTTTTGAAACAGCCCGTATACATGTTAATCTATTAATTTCATCGCTTGAATATTGCATCATTCGGTTGAATGCCTTCTTTTCGACAGTATATTTTGCTTATAATCAATCCAATAGATTCAATCATATTATGTTTACTAATTATCGATATCTAATAAAATCGTTTTAAATTTCACAGGTAGTGTGTCCGCAATTTGTATGTCATCTTTTTAGGTTTCGTCCGCAATTTACATGGTTTTTATTACTTTGTTCGCAATTAGGAAACACTGAATGTGTTCGTCAACGGTTTTAATAACCGTTTAAAATTTAAAGAAATAGTTAGGGTAATAAAAACGTGTATCCAATTTTGGATATTATATTGATGACTCTTTCGTACTCCTTCAGCTGTAATTTTAAAATGTTACAAATCATAATAATTGGTAATAATTCCAATAATAGTGTTATCGTTATATACATATCAACATGTAAAGAAAATTATTCTCTATTTAAATATTTGTTCAAACCTCCCCCCCCCCCCTCTTCCTTTTTAACCTTCCACGCCGGTTATTATTTGGAAATATAAAGTGTATCCTTACCTTACAATGTATAAGTTATAAAGAAGTAGGAATAAAATATCGAAAAATGTGTTAAAGTAAAGCTTAAATACGGAGTTTATGTAAAACAACATGCCTCGCGGGAAATACTTAAAACTCTTACTCCTCGTTGATTAGTTAAATTTTGATGTTTTTTTTTTTATTATTATTTTATTTGAAAATAAAAAGACTTATAGATTATATTGAAATATAATATACAAATTAAATTTCTAGAATCTGTATTAAGCGCATGAAATAAAGTTACAATTTTTTTAATATTTTGTTCTCCTATACATATAGATTAATTCAAAATGGGAATTCTTTATGATCTGTAAATAGTTTTGCTCTTTTAAGAAAAAGAAAAATGTATACATTCAAGAGAGCGGATTAGGGAGAGATTTTGACCCAGTAAAATACAAAAGTACCTGCCCAATTATTAATATACTAATAAATACTGAATTTTAGTCAACATGTATTATAATAATTTTAATAAAACTAAACATTTATTTTTACATAATATTTGGAAAGAAATATTATGCAATGTCAAGTTTTGTCATTTGTCAATTATATCTATAAGAAATATTTTATGTTTGATTGAAAAAAAAAAAACTGTATTCTTTTTATGTTATTAAACACTCTACTCCATCACAAACTCATGCTTAAAGGAGTAAATGTATATATGCACTTATATTTCATTATTATATGTATATTTTAAAGACATTTTAAATTTAATAAAAAGGCAATTTATTACCCTTCTCCACTCCTAAATTTTAAACGTTATAATTCATAAACGGTAAATCTGATATTAGCATTATTTCTAGAAAACTATTTTATATTCAAATATGTGTTCAAAAAGAGGAAATTCCTATATTAAAAGCAAAAGTATGTACTTATTTAAGGTACATGGAGTAAATTTGGACAAAAACTTATATTTACTTTTTCTAGACTTGGTAAAATTGTCAAGAGCTATGTATAAACATTTTAATTTTGCGTGTTTTATACATAATTTGTATTTAGTAGGTACTGTGTGATTAAATTGTTAGACTTAACAAAAATGCGTGAAAATTTAACAGGAGATTCATTAAAATTCTTGCTTTGTGATAAAAAAAAAATTGAGTTTAATGTAGTTTTTTTATAACGGAATTTTAAAATCATATTTTGACGAAAATCTTTCGAATAAAAAATTATGTGGAACAAATCTAATTTTTAAATTTTTTATTTGAACATATGTATATTGTCGATTTAAGAACGATGGCGAAGTAAAAATAGAGTGGACTAATATAGTTTCGAAACTATGGCTTTTGGAATTTCTGATATTATATAATGTTTGTTAAATAACTATATATTGTCAAACTCAAAATATGTTTGTCGTGGTGTAATGGTAATATATACCTACTAACATCCTAGTGTTCACGAGTTCAAATCCGAGTTTTGAAAAAAATCTTTACCATTTTTTTTTTCTTTTACCTAAATAAGGAAAAAACAAATGCATTTTAGTTGTACCTAGAGACCCAGACCATCTCTCTTTTAGACTATTTTAATCGCAAAATACCCCACGATTTATTGTGCAAACTTTTCCATCAGGAATCTTCCTCCGATGTATCAAGTGTAGCTTATTTTCTGAAAGAAAATTTTATTTACTTGGTACTTTAAAGTGATCATTTATTGATTTTTCAAGCGATTTTCATAATATCTGAGAAAAATCGGGAAAAACGAAGAAAAAACGGAAAATGTACGAAATATAGGTATTAGTAAAAAAATATTATGACCTTTTTTTTTCTGTGAAAAAATTGTCTACCATAAACTTTACTCTGATGATAGCACTATTTCCTAAAGGAAATCTTACTGGGGAGGTACTTTAAGGAGGTCATTTTTCGATTTTCCCAAGAGTTTTTTCAAAAAGT